GGATTCTCCTCCATGACATTCCTGTCTCTCTTCACTCATCTACTGAGTTTTTCCTCTACCAGCATGGGTCTCGTTGGTTCCAAGTGACAGGTTTTGATTTCAATTCCCTTGGCTAACTGGCTCAGTCTCTCCATTCCCCAATTCCTCAGAGGGGAATTGGATTGGTCCAGTAGTCTTTTCAGGACAGTCCCTATAAACCCTACGTCATGGCTAATCTGGGACAGCCCCACCACCCCTACTGCAATCTAAACAGCAAAGGCTAAACAGTCACATGGTGTAGGATATGGACATTTAGAGCAGCAGAAGTTTGTGGCAGGACAGATACTAGGATTCATCCAGCAAATATTTATTGAGTATTTGCCACGTGTGAAGCCACTATTGTGGGAGCTGGGGGCTATAATGGTGGACAAGATTGACAAGGTCCCTGAAACCTTGTGGAGGGAAGTGAGCTTTACATGAGTGACATAGTAAAATCAAAGACTGTGGTAAACCCCAAGAAGGAAATAAACAGAGTGATTTGATGGTTACTGGACTGAAGGTAGAGGAGATTACTTTTAATGGGATGACACAGAAGCCCTCTTTGTAGAAATGATCTTTGAGCTGAAATCTGAGGAAGGAACATAAAGGCTTTGAGGTGGGAAGGAACTTGGCATGTTTGAGGAAAAAAAAAAAAGAGAAAAGAAAAAAACCCCAAAGTTGCCAACTGAGCAGAGTGAGTAAGGGGTGACGTTGGAGAAGTAGGCAGGGGCCAGATTATGCAACACTTTGTAGCCCCCAGTGAAGGGGATGGTAACCAGACCCTCCCAGGACCCAGACTATCAGATACATGCAGAGAACATTTGAAGAAGCTCAGCATGGAGAAGAATGGTAGAACTGAGCAAGAAGGTGGTGGTTGGGGGGAGCTTTTGGTGACATTGAGAATGTCACATTCCTGAGAATGACTTACAGTTTTGTACTACTTAAGTTTAAGAACATCAGTTACCTGTCAGTGCAGTCAGGGAAAGGTGACTACTAAGAAGTAGCTAGTGATCCCTATAACATAAGTTACTTCTCACTTTTCTGTAGGGAAGATGCTACATGGAAAGAAAATAACATTTATTCAACATGTCTCCACATTAGCTTATCTCCTATCCTTACAGAAACCTTGAGAGCTGTTTCTTCCAGAGGAGAAAACCAAAGATCACAGAAATTAAAAAACAAGTTACAAATCACCAGCTATTAAGTGGCTGGCCTGGACTTTGAAAGCAAGTGGGTGGCTCTAAAACCTGTGGTCCTTTTATTGCATTTTCTGCTTGATGATACTGTTTGAAAGAAAAAGGTACAATGTAGGTGTAGAGATCACTCTCTTGTACTTGATGTGAAAGAAAGGGAATGATCAAGGCCAAGTAGTGTAATAAACTAGTCCTGTATGCCTCTTGCATCTCCTGTGGGATTACCGCATAACTCCAAAGAGGAGGACCAGTAGGAGGTTATATATATAATCTTTAAAAATGTTAGAGAGGATGATGTGGAACTAGTACCCGAGGAACATGTTCAGGAGAATAAATAGTAGGTAATGTTTAGCTGTGATGGCACTGGTTGGAGAAAGGAGGAGTTAGTTTAGGTAACTAGGAAACTGAGCAGATGGTGGTGCTGTAATAAATATGTTGAAGGACTTGGTACAGGTACAAGCTACATCCCTCTATCCAGTCTTTGTTGGATCTCCCATCTCTTCTCCCCGCCGTCCCCCCCCACCCCGATAACATCTTGGACAGATCTCCTAACTTTAAGGTCATTTCTAATGATTTAAAGTCCATTCTATCTTTGCTTTCTGCTCACTTTTGCTGTGAACCTAAAACTGCTCTAAAAAAAAAAGTTTATTAAGAAAAAAAAGTCGAGGGGCACCTGCGTGGCTCAGTTGTTAAGCATCTGCCTTCGGCTTAGGTCATGGTCCCAGGGTCCTGGGTTCGAGCCCCGGCTCGGGCTCCCTGCTCCGCGGGGAGTCTGCTTCTCCCTCTCCCACTCCCCCTGCTTATATTCCCTCTCTCGCTGTGTCTCTCTCTGTCAAAAAAATAAATAAAATCTTAAAAAAAAAAAGTCCAGGGGCGCCTGGGTGGCTCAGTTGGTTAAGCGACTGCCTTCGGCTCAGGTCATGATCCTGGAGTCCCGGGATCGAGTCCCGCATCGGGCTCCCTGCTCGGCAGGGAGTCTGCTTCTCCCTCTGACCCTCCCCCTCTCATGTGCTCTGTCTCATTCTCTCTCTCTCAAATAAATAAATAAAATCTTAAAAAAAAAAAAGTCCAGTCTAACCTAAATCAAAACATCAATTTCATATCTAATTTATTTATTTTTTTAATTTTTAAAGATTTATTCATTTTAGAGAGAGAGTGCATGCAAGCAGGGGAGAGGCAGAGGGAGAGAGACAGAGAGAGAACTTCAAGCAGACTTCCCACTGAGCGTGGTGGAGCTGGAGGGATGTGGGCTTGATCTCGCAACACTGAGATCATGATCTGGGCTGAAATCAAGAGGCTGCCACTCAACCGACTGAGACTCCATATCTAATTTAAAGCTTCTCCCCTCTCTGACTCTCAGTTGGGAATATTTGTTTAGCTTATAATTTTCCTCTCTTCTTTTTCTTCCCTTTCTCATTCTGCTCCTGTCATTAGGGGAAGGATTAAAGAAAGGAAGTAAAAGTGTCTCACATGACTAATGTCATCAGAAGCAGAGATCCAGGGGCTGATTCTCTCTTGTTGGGAGCATTTATGGGTTCTTTGGAGGCTATACCTGTGAATCTTAAGATCCCTCTTCAGTCACTGCTTCTTGGTGTCCACTCATCTAGCCTATTACTGGGTCTTTTCACTCTGGTGGTAAGCCCTATTGAGTTGGCCACCTGACTCTGCCGAACACAGGTAGTGGAGGCTGCCCCATTGCTGCCCTTTCTCCTTGTCCTATTGTGGAATGTATCAGCCCCCTTCCCTAATTCAGAATTTTGCAGGTCAAAAGTGGTAGCCATCTTCATGAATGTGTGTGAAGGCCCCAACCTCCTGGAGAGACAGGTCTGGTTCACCTCAAAACTCTTAACCATGGTGGATGCACAGAGATGGCTAAGTTGCTGTAGTCAGCGAGACTCACCAGCGTAGGAGAAAGATCTCGCAGACACCCCCAGTCTTTTGTAGTGCTTCCTCTTTATAGTGAGGTGAGCAGTTTATCGTCTTCCATGAGTTCTTCTAATGAATTCCTTTTGAAATTTTCTCTCTCCCTGATGGAGGCTGGAAGTAGATGAAGGTTTTAGGATTGGTCTAGTCATTTTTTAGTAAATCTTTTACTTACTTAAGTAGTAAGGATGAACTGGTAGGTTTTCTTTAGAAGGTGAAGATCCTTATTTCCTGTTGTTCTCAGCTTTGGAATTTTATAGCTCATTAACATTTTGGCACTATATATATATTTTAAGATTTTTATTTATTTATTGAGAGAGAGAGAGAGAGCATGAGAGGGAGGAGGGTCAGAGGGAGAAGCAGACCCCCTGCTGAGGACTCCTAGGACTCCAGGATCATGACCTGAGCTGAACACAGTCGCTTAACCAACTGAACCACCCAGGCGCCCCTCCGGCACAATATATTAATTGCACACCAAATTGAGGAGGGAGGAATGCCCTTTCTAAGCAAAGAAAGGCTTAGTTTTATACCGAGATTCATGGAATCTCAGAGTTAGGAGAAATCTAGAAGCCATTTAATCAATTTCCCCACCAACGCCATGAATCCTGTTTACAACTTGATGAGATGTTAACCAGTTTTCATTTGGACACATCCAGGAACTAGGAATGCGTTCCCTAACTTTCAGATCTCAGCTCTGTCAATTACCAGATGAGTTTCACCAAATCACTTTAAACCCCGTTCCTCACCTATGAAAGGAGTGTAAATAGTGTCTTCTTCACAGAACATTGTTGGAAGGATAAAAGAAGATAAATATATAAATTGCCTAACCCAGTCACAGAGGAGTGCAATGTTGTTTCCCTTTACAGGTCCCTTTAGGGGACAGCATATTCTGTTTTCGGATTATTTTCACCGGGAGAAAGATCTTCCTCATATTGAACTGCCTCTGTATATTTTTAGCCCTTCCCTTAAGCTCACCCTTCAGTGGTCATACAGAATGTCTTTTCTCCTTTCACTCGACGGACTTTCAGATATGTGATTTTAATTGAAGGAACTGGAGATATTAGGAAAATCCATTTTTTTTTTTCCTTTTCTGAGTGGGGAGTCCAGGTAGCCGTTGGACTTCCGTGTGATCCCCAAGAGGAATTTATTGAGTGAATGGGGTAAAGATGGTATTTCACTTTCTAACATCAGTTCTCCCCGACGCTGGTGGGTTTAATCCCAGGCTGGCTATGATTCTGTAGGATTGTAGCCTGGAACATGTGTGTGTGTGTGTATGTGTGTGTGTGTGTAAGAGAGGGAGAGAGAAACCGACGCTGGTGGGTTTAATCCCAGGCTGGCTATGATTCTGTAGGATTCTAGCCTGGAACGTGTGTGTGTGTGTGTGTGTGTGTGTGTGTGTGTGTGTGTAAGAGAGGGAGAGAGAAAGGGAGAGACAAATGTTGTTAGACACTTGAACGCCTTTGAATGGTGCTATTCTTTGTCTGCCACATCGTGAGCACTAATAAGATCGTTTATTGCCCTGAATGAATGGTTAAACGTGGAAGCGACAAAGAAAGCCAAACGGCTTTCAATGAATACCAAGGCGGGTGCTCAAAAAGTCCTCTCAAGGGCGAGCTGGGAGAGTTGCTGTTAAGAGGTCTCTTTTGGGGTGGGTGGGGGACTAGCCTTCGGCTCCAACGCTTAGGCACCGCCTCTTTCACCCGCGGACTGACCGCTAGGCGGTGCCGCGGCATTTGCCGCCCACCTGCCCGGGCGCCCCAGCTCTCATCCTCACCCCTCAATCCCCGACCGGCGGCAAGACTACAACTCCCGTGGTGCTCTGGGAACGGGAGAGGTGGGGGGGGCCATGGGGGGAAGAGGGAGGTGAGGGCGGGCTTTCCGGGAGTGTGTTTCCGGCGTCGGCGGCCGCGGCCGGGGACGGTGTGAAAGCGGTAAGATGGCGGCGGCGGCGGTGGTGGAGTTCCAGAGAGCCCAGTCTCTACTCAGCACCGACCGGGAGGCCTCCATCGATATTCTCCACTCCATCGGTAAAGGTCGCCGCGCCCCCTCTCTGACCCTGCCGGCTCAGCTCGGCCTGTGTGGGCCGGCGGTGGCGGAGCGGGGCCGGGCTAGCCGGCTCTGGTGCTGCTGACTCACTGTGTGTGAGGGGGGCCGGGCCGGGGGCACAGGCCGCTCGCAGCTCCCTGGAGCCCCCTGGGTCCCACCCGGGTGGGGAGCTTCGAGGCAGCCCTGGCGTCCACTTGCCGGCTGCTGACTCACGGTGGGCTCAGCGTGGAGTGAGAGGGTGGGCCGAGCCGGGGCCCCCACCACTTCCCAGCCTTGCTCCGGCTCTGGCCCGTGCGGGCTGGCCCGGGACCGCGAGCAGTGCCGGCCGGCGGGCTTGTCGCGAACAGGACTGAGAGCCTCGAGTTGAAAGGCCTTGGAGAAACTCGCTGTAGACAGCGTTTCCCGCCGTTGTTATCAGTACAGCCCGCTCCGGGTGGCAGAGCGAGCGCTCGCTTTTCTCTTGGAGTTTTCTTCCTCGGGACGCTGGGAACTGCTACCTCTCTCCAGCCTCACAGCGGAAGGCTCCACTAAAGGGAGATCGCTTTCTGAATGTGGGAAATACCGAGGGGACACACACCACAGATTGACATTTGGTTTGAAGAGGTGCCCGAGACGTTCCTTTGCCCCCTTGTTGGGTGTAAGAGCGAGAAGGGACCGCCCGGCTAGAGGAGGTGACCAGTCGTCCTAGTCTCCCCTGTAGAGGTGGGAAGTGAGTTCGGGGAGTTAGTTGTCAACCGCGGAGTTCAGGGAACTGGTCCGCCGCAGATTGCCAGAGAAAATTAAAGTCAATTTGTAGTAGATTGCCTTACATCTTGCACACAAAAGGAAAACTGAAACGGGAGCTCCAGCCAGTCGCTTCTGAGAAGTTTCTACCGGAATTCAGGTGTGAATAGAAATAAATTTGCGATGACAGAGAAGGCTTTTAATGTTCAAGTCGTAAAGGGTTCAGTTAGGGCATGGGATAGCTCTTGCTGCACATGTAGTAATGTGATCTTTTTAACGTAGTTTGAGAAGATTCAGATTGGATCAACAAGTAGCGTAAGAATGCACGTGTATGTGGGACCTCCAGGATGTTGGCTTTTAGGTTGACTTCTAGTCTGTTGAATTTTGGTATCCCTGAGTTGCATGGAGAAAAGACAAGGACAAGATCTTGATGTCTTTATCTTTGGGGGTACTGGAGAAGGAGAGGAGGTGGGGGTTAAGATGCATCTGTGGATGGATGATTTTGGTAAATGAAAGGTTTTAATTTTGAAGTTCTGATCTTGAATTAAGTCAGTTAAAATTATAGAACCAGCGTCATTTCAATCACATATATATTTTTATTCTGTGAGTACACACTAATGTGAGAAGCATGGATTTTATTTTGTTTTTTTGTGCTAAGTGCCTACTATTTTGTCTTTTATAAAGGGAAATTATGGTAAGCATTATAGTTGGAGTATTTTGTGATTGTCCATTCTACTAGGAGAGAGTTCCCTGAAAGCTTCCCTCTTCAAGCTTGAGTCATGATGGGTACAGTCTTACTTTTTCCAGACTCCATCATGGAGTATCTAATCTTGGTTTTTGTCAAGTCATGACGCTTTGTAAGAGAAGTGATAACTAGTGATGATCACTAAAATTATCACCACAAACTCAGAGAGGTTATTCAGTGTTTGAGTGGTAAAATAGTTTTTAACAGTTGAAAGTGGGACAGATAGCACAAAGTTATTTTAACAGGTCCTGAATCCATTATAAAGCCGCAGTCCCTCCTAAGGATCACACTGGAGCTTTGATTGGGTTGTTTTTCCTGAATGGCTTTGTAGAACTGCTTATCCCTAGCACACCCATTAGTGAGGCTTTCCACAGACTAAAGTTTATTGAAAGACTCTTGACTTTTTTTAGTCATTAGTAAATAATGGTCTTTTGATTTTAGTTTGTGGCAGGTAAACGTATAGGCATGTTTAATATTTTCAATAACAGAGTGCCTAACGGGCTTAGCACCACAAGTATGAAGCACTTGTTTGGATTTTTGCTTTAACCAAGTGACTGCAACAGAAATCTCATTGTATGTGGGTAAGGGGAATTCTGATTCATAGAATGAAAAGGCACATTTAAAATCAGAGAGGAATCTATTTTTATGATTTATATGGGACATATCTTACATGATGATTTCACTTTTAAGAATTTTTTTTTTTTTAAAGCTCTCTAGAATTTGTCTTTTGGTAACTGAGTTTGTAATTGGTCTTGTGAGGGTGAAATTTCCCTCAGTCTTCATTTTTTGTCAGAATTTTAAGAAGGTTTGCATTTTCCTCTCCCAGTGAAGCGTGACATTCAGGAGAATGATGAGGAGGCAGTGCAGGTCAAAGAGCAGAGTATCCTGGAACTGGGGTCTCTCTTGGCGAAGACTGGACAAGCTGCAGGTAAGTGCTGCAAATGGGTTGCTTTCTCTTTTACCTGAAATGCTGGGTGAGGTTTCATTTCTCTTGGAGTACAGGAACATAGGAATGCATCCACACAGTTTATTGGTGGTATATTTCCATTTTATCGTCAACTTGTTGAGCTTCAGTTTTTTAGCAGGAAGGTAGGTGGACCTTTAAATTCAGTTCTTTCATGGAACAGTTTTGTTCTGCAGGTGCGGGAAAATCCTATTCCTTTTGGGATATAGTGATCTGTGATTTGTTTCTGGTTTGAATTTTCACTGTGTTCCCTTACATAGGGGCAGCAGCACCAGTAGCAGCTGTCTTTAGGGATTTCAGCTCTGATATATTTAAGATGGACAGCAGCTTAGGCCCCTGACTTGAAAGTGACTAGGGATTCTGCATCCAAGTCAGTGAGTAGCTGTCCTTTTTTCCTGATGGAGAGTGAGACATTAAATGGAAAGAGCCTTCCCGAGATTTCTCCATTGTTACCTGGGACTTTGTGCATGTTATTACCCATACATTCTATTTGTAATTGAACCATTGAGTTTCTAGGCTTGAGATACTCTGATGACGGTGTCCTCGGAATAAGAATCACTGGAATAAGAGACCAGGAAGGGCCTTTGACCAGTAAAGTGGTAATAGTATTTAGAGACAGGGTTTCTTAAGCTTAAAATGGATGATTTTTGTCAACTTTTTTTTTTAAAGATTTTATTTTTATTATTTATTTGAGAGAGAGAATGAGAGACAGAGAGCATGAGCGGGAGGAGGGTCAGAGGGAGCAGCAGACTCCCTGCCGAGCAGGGAGCCCGATGCGGGACTCGATCTCGGGACTCCAGGATCATGACCTGAGCTGAAGGCAGTCGCTTAACCAACTGAGCCACCCAGGCGCCCCTGATTTTTTGTCAACTTTAAAGTGAATTTAGATCTTATCTAATTTAGAATGGATTAAGCTCTGGTAAGGGACTTTATGAATTACTTTACCCAAAATAATATTGTTATCCAAGAGGTGTAAGTTAGCAAAACTTCTTGAACTTGAGAACTAAGATCTTTTGCAACTTAAAGATGACTAACATTGATTATTAGGCTCAGTCAATAAAAAGTTGAGTAAAGGTATATGCAGTTGGAGGATGTGTTTATATGGCTTTTGTATCTTACTTAAAATATCATTTAAAGATATTTATAGTAAGACAGTTTTTAAATGCTGTCAACAAGTTACTCTTTTTTTTTTTTTTTAAGCACAGAAATGATTTCGTTTATTGCGTCCTCAAAACAACTCGATAAGGTGGATACTATTGTTCATTTTACACCTGAGGAAACTGAGCACAGAAGAGTTAAATGACTTATCCAAGGTCACTCACTCATCTAGTATGTGGAAGAGTCAGGATTTGAACCAATTAGTCCCACTTCAGAGCTTGAGGCCTTATGGTGTAATGGTTCATGCTTTCCATAGTTAATCACTTATGGGTTATCAGTGGTTAGTGCTGGGATTTTTCACTTTATTTATTTTTTTAAGTTTATTTATTTATTTTTTTTAGTAATCTCTACACGCAACGTGGGGCTTGAACTCAACCCCCAGGTCAAGAGTCACATGCTTTTCTGACTGAGCCAGCCATGCATCCCTGTTTTTTTCATTTTAGACTGACTTCCCTCCTGTTTAACATATTTATGGATTCCTTTTGCCTGTCAGTTAATGTGAGCTTGGGGTTGCATAATAGTTTTGTAATTAGTCCACACAAAATATAATTAATAAGGTAATTTTCCTGAAAGAATTAAAAAGTCAGGTAAAGTGATTTAAGATTTTTCTGTTGTTGAAATTTCCAAATATCTGTTTTCCTCCAGTAGCATGGACAATTACAAATAGCATGTAGTACAGTCAGCGCTTCAAAAATTTATGCAAAAGTGTTAACTGTTTTGCTTGAAATTCGTATTTTATGCTTTGTTCTCTCCTTATTCCTTGCCCCTCCCCTTTTTGTGATTCAGTACCTGAGAAGTTGAGAAGTGTATAGCTAAACCTATTGCAATTTAACAGGTGAATCATAAGGACTTTCAGAAACTTTTCCAGGTCATTTGTCATTGTTTTCTAAGAAAGAGTTTGATGAGTATAGGTATATACAATAGAAACTCTAAGGAGGTCTTGGGGCCTCCATTCATGTACCTAACTTTGCTCTTCATAATTGATAGGTTTATGTTCTTTCCTTTGATTTTTGGTTCCCTGAGAAACCAAATAGGTTTAGTCCATTAATCTTTAATTTTGTTTTATTATGCACTTAATATACAGTTAGCACTGTGCTAAGTACTCCATTCAAAAAATTTAAGATAAGGTCTCTGACCTGTAGCATTCATTTGGGAATTAGTGAATAAGGCAAGGTTTGATGCATAATAGTGGTTGAAAGTGGTGCTGAGCATCATCAGACGTGATGGCTAGGCTCAGGATCTGCAGATTTCATAGCTTGAGATTCTGAAAGGATTATTTTGAGCTCTCTGACCTTCTAAAAAGGAAGTTTGGGTCATATAATTGTAAATAATCTCAATAGGAAGTAGTATGATTCTTTGGGAATTAAAAAATTAATTTGTTATGTATGAGAATGGAAAGAAACAGAGACTATAACCGAGAATGAATAGCAACAATAGACTGAAATGAAAAGTGAACTGAATCTTTGGCAACTAAGAGGTCATTTGTTTTTCTGTTGGGGTAAGAAGAATAACACTATCAGTGCTTGGAGCAAATACTGTAATGCTAGCAGGTGCTAGAGCAAAAGGCAGGCTGCTTAGTTCATGTTTCACTTCAGCCTTTTCCAGGAAGGAAAATAATTTTCAAAAAGAAAAAGAATAAAGCATCAGAAAGAGAATTAAAGCCAAGGTAGGTGAGAGAAGAGAGAGCAGATAGGCTCTTTAAGTTCAAGTCTCTAGGCTCTGACAGTTTCTGTCTTTTAATATCAGAAGCATAGTTCTAGCAGATGTATTTATAGAGCCACTATTATTATTCTGAGAAAAGTCATGGAGGATGGAGAAGTATTAAGGAAACAGGATGGGCAAATATTGTTTCATTTTGCGTGAAGATAACGAGAAGAATTTCTAGACACTTTAAACTGGTAATCACTAATACTGGGACAGATTATTTGGTAAGTAGGTTTTAATCACTTAAGACCGTGGGTTTATTAAGAAAAGATTATTTCAAACTCACCTTCATTCTCTTTGGTTAGCCTTATCAGACCAGTAGATGTGCAGGGCTCCACAGACAGTGGCTTGCCAGCTGTTTTTGTAAATAAAGTTTTGTTGGATCCCAGCCACACCCGTTTATTCACATATTGTCTATGATTGCTTTTGCACTGCAGTGGCTGAGTTGAGTTTGTGCCAATGAGACCACATTGCCCAAAAAGCTGAAAATATTTACTATCTGGCCCTTCACAGAAAAAGTTTACCAACTTCTGGGTTAGAGGAATGATACAGACTACATATCTGATGTAAGCAAGGCCTTTGAACATTTGCCATAATATTAATGAGAGGTCCAGGGTATGAAGATCATTGGTCAACTAGAGGGAAGTCTCTAGCATCGGTCAGCATCTGGCATTATGGCTAAAGCCTTTTCAGAAGACCTGCTTATTTTTTGTAGATGACTCAGTACAGTAGAGGACAGAATTAAGATTCAGAGTTATTGCCAAAGCCAGCAAGATTAAATTCAGTGTGGTAAGTACAAAGTTATATACTTAAAAGTATTTATCAAAACAGAGGAAGATGAGGAATTACCTGTCAAAAAAGACCTTAATGGAGCAGTCTAAACAAAAGTGCTATTAAGAAAAAGGAAGTAGACTATCTTGTGTTACCTGTGGGGCCAGATCAAGAGAATTAGGCCATGACTCTACTGGTCAGACCTTACCTGGAGAATTATTTTCAGTTTTGGGTACTACAAGTGGTATGTTTGCAAACTAGAGTTTATTCAATGACAAGGAATCTAGAAACCAGAACATTGGAGGAACAGTTAAAACAGCTAAAGATGTTTAGCTTGGAGAAAGGGAAAGTTAGGGAGATATAAATGGTAGTTATCTTCAGAAATTTGAAGCCATGTGGAAGGAGGGAAAGACTTGGGTCTTAGAAAAGAACAATTCAGTTTGACTAACATTCAAATAGTCAGCTTTCTGAACATTTCTGTCATTAGAGATTGTTCAGAATTGTTCTAGCATAGTAGGAAATACTGTGGGAGAATGGACATTGTACTAAACTACTTTTAAAAAGATATGGTTGTATAATTAAAATTTGTACAAATGTAAAAGGAATTTGAGAGGGAAACATCAGTGCAGCCTGGAGTTGGCTTGGAAGACATAATAGGACTTTAGCTGGACCTAAAAGGATATCTGAGGTTTACATAGATCAAGAAGATGAGGGAGAAATTCTACATGGGAATGCAGCAGGAGTGAGGCATGAAAGAACACGCATGTCTAGTCTATGCAGGGGTGAATGGAGTGGCAGAATGGGGAAAATCTTAGTGGAATCAAAGGTCAGTACTGGGGAATGAAGGAAAAAATGAACTTTTCCACTGTATAAAGTTCTTTTCGTACCTGACACAGTCCCATGCATCCTGTGACTATTCAGGCAGATGAGGATTTCAGGACCCTGAATTAGCATTCTCAGGAGGGTGAGGTTTGCTTGCCCTGAATTAGAATCCTCAGGAGGGTGAGTCCACAATTGGAGAATATTAAAGAGGTGGTGGCACTAAAGTAATTGTAACCTACATTCCAAAAGTACTTCCATAGTTATCGAGTTGAAATATTCTCTAATTTCTACTCTTGTTTCTAAAGATGCTCCCTTAAAATGACTGTGCCACCTTCTTTTCCTCTATAAGGGGAGAAAAACTTCTGTGGTGGACACCTTTTTTGGTCATAGTTTAAGACTTAGCCTTTACCAGTAAATGAAGAATTTTAAGTATATGTTTAAGGGGAAAACACCCTAAGTTTTCTGTGAAAAGTTTAGTCAGTGCCAGGGAAGTGATATTGCTAAAAGCCTAAATTGGGGAGAACTTTGGGAGGGGAGTCTGTTTTAAGGGGGAGCTGCCAGGGTAGACTTGGAAATTCAGCAACAAAACACCCCTCCCATAACCTCATCAGATTTGCCAGTTGTGAGGAAGTGATTTTTACCTCAGGTGTCAGAGGCACAGCTTATTTCATGTTCTAGAAAACTGCGCTCTGAGACCATGAGCACTTGGCTGTTTATCTGTCATTAAGATGGGTAAATGAGGCTGAGAGACGTGAGGTTTTCCCAGGGCCCTCATAGTAATCCAGTAGCTGAGTGTGGAATAGAATACAAATTTGGTATATGTTGTTCACTCATTTTTGCTACTCTGTTACCTGCTAAGAATGCTTTAAATTCCTACTATGTATCATATAGTAGACTGATTGCAGTGACATAAAGATGGATTTCATGATCTTGGATCATTATTTTAGTGGGTATTTTGTCTCTAATATTGATGTTTACTTTTTCTTTTCTGAATTGCCTTCCACACAGAGCTTGGAGGACTCCTGAAGTATGTGCGACCTTTCTTGAATTCCATCAGCAAGGCTAAAGCAGCTCGTCTGGTCCGATCTCTTCTTGATCTGTTTCTTGATATGGAAGCAGCTACAGGGCAGGAGGTAAGCTACTTTAATGGCAGAAGGTAGACAATATGGACAAAAAATCTGTTTCAGTGAAAGCAATGCCTGCGTGCACTGTGGTACTAATGTGGAAGGGACAGCTGAGCTGGGAGGACAGCTCAGGACTTATCATGTCAGTTTCTCTTTGTTACAGGGCATTTGATACTTTGGGTCTGTTCCATGCTTTGCTTTGTAAGTGGAGATTGTCAGTGGTCCCTGGAATCCTCATTACATCAGGGTCACAAACTGATTCTTGTCTTTGAGGTATTGTATTGCCACACCTTTGTAATGTTTTCTGTGTCTGTGGTACCTTTTATTCTGTGTCACAGAGCTCCTTGTGAGCACTAAATAAGTCTTGTGGCATCACTTCTTGGCGTGTTTTGTACTGCATATATGCCTTTATGGAGGGGTGAGCATCCATCTGTTTGTGTCTCATGTGTGCAGAAGTGACTCTGGTGTACCTGTACATGTGTCCTCTACAAGTTCAGACCAGACCCTGAACCATGCTGAAGAGTGCCTCTTTGGAATCAGTGAGCCTCTTCTGAACTTTCAAAGATAGCTGTATTTTCTACAGTTCAGGAGGAGACACTACCAAAGTTAAAACTTATTCTGTAAAAAGCAGCAGATTCAAGCAGGATAAATTGTGGTTACTTGAATCTGTTTGTAGGAAAAATATAGTTGTATTTCCTATAGATACATTGCTTAGTATTCGCTGAGTGCCCACTGTATGCTAAACACTGTTACATATACTGGGGATACATTTGTAAAAACACAGTCACTGTTCTCATGGGGATTATATTTTAATGAAGGCAGGCAATCAATAAATATATAAAATGTCAGGTAATATAAGGACAGGGGTAGGAAGCTGGCTGGTTATATGTCTGATTGTTTGCTCTAGCCTCTGTGGGTGTAAGTAAAAGGTATGAAAGGGCACAGTAGCATTCTAAGTAAATAATGAGAAATTTCAGAAATCTAGGACATGGATCCCACTTTGAAATCAGGTCTTTTGTAAAAATCTGCTTTCTTGCCTTAATCATTCTTTGAGGCCTAGTTTAAACACCATAAACTCACTTCATTTGTAGAAAATTCATTTGTAGAAGAACTTTTCAAATTTGTGGCAGAACTATGTTTCATGATGGTAGATCAAAAATAGTTAATATTTAGATGGCTGTCTTTTGAACCAAAGCATTAGAATTATTTTTATGAATAATTTAGAAGAAAAGGTGATTTTAATGGGGTGTTAGTCTTATCTAACTTTTTTTTTTAAAATTGTACTTTGTTCTCATGAAGAAGGACCACCATCTTTTCTTTGAAATGGGGTGCCTTATAATGGGCTGACCAAAAATGTTACTTTGAAACAGACTGACATGTGTTACTTGGAACTTTCTAGGCAGAAAGAATTAATTATCAAAGCTGCTCCTTTGCACACCGAAGTCTCCGGAATTTTTCCCTTCCCATAGCGTAGAGTTAACTCTGGATGGAACTGCATTTGTGTAACGAGCAGTTCTCCTACTCCTTTGTGGAGGTCCATTAAATCATAATTCAGCACTCTCCTGTAATTGGCTAGTGGGATTTATTGGCCTTTATCATGTGGCTCCGTGTCTGGTTAGGCTATCCCATCTGCTTTACTTTTCTTCATATTTATTTTCCTTTTTAACATCTGTTTCCTCCTTAGAATGGAAGTTCCATGAGGATAGTTACTTTGTCCTGTCCAGTGCTGTATCCTTGGCACTTAGAGTAGTTTGGCCCAGAGGACCTACAGAACTCATATTTGTTGGAGGAATGTATGGATAATGCCTTCCCCGTGGTCGGTGCTTAGGAGATACTTTTTTGAATTAAGACATAAATTTATTGAATTGAGATATAAGCGTAAGTGTTGTTACTACATTTCTCTAGGTGACTCAGGATCTCTGACTTGGAGAAATTGGAGCTATGTATTCATCTTGGAACATTCTAGGTTCTTTTATTTGAGTGATGGAAAAGGATAGGGGAGCAAGTTGTAGGTCACTATCATGGTGGTATTGTGGCCTGAGGCAAAAGAAGAAGTTTGTAAACGTTGTTAAGAGATCTAGGAGTTTTGTGTTGCGGAGTTTGGTACCCAAGAGGATGGAGGAGGGGATTTTCCTTGCCTTTTTCTGTTTGGGAACTAACCATAGGTCAGATAGATTTACAGAACAGTTTTCTAGCTTGCTGTATTCCAAAAGGTGGTAGGAATCAGGTTAGGATTGAGTGAATTGCAGCACTAAGGTTTAGCGCCTAGAAAGTGAGGATGTAGGTGGAGGTAAGGGAGAGTGACGATGGGGTGGTTGGCAGGGGTGGGAGGGGGTAGAGAATTGGGGTGAGGAGGGGACTGTGCCAGACCCTTGCCAAATTGGGAACTGAAATTTCAAAATTAACTTTACCTTTCTGGGATCTCTAGGTAGTTGCCCAGGGGAAGCCATTTTTGGTATAGTCTATCCAACTGAAGCCACAGTAGCACATTTTGAGAAACCTTCCATCGAATCCTGTTATTGAAAGTTATTTCCATGGAAAAAAGGAGTTTGTGCTAGAGAATTTCAGACTTGGAATAGTAGTTACTCTTCTCCCATAAGGATTTAGTTAATAAAGGCATTTAAAAAAATCGTTAAGTGTATTGATTTAAAACTTAAATGTCTGGGGTGCCTGGGTGGCTCAGTCAGTGAAGCGTCTGCCTTCAGCTCAGGTCATGATCCCAGGGTCCTGGGATCGAGCCCCACGTTGGGCTCCCTGCTTGGCGGGGAGCCTGCTTCGTCCTCTTCCTTTGCCTGCTGCTCCCCCTGCTTGTGTGCTTGTGCGCTCTTTCTTTCTTTCAAAATAAATTAAAAAAAAATCTTTAAAAAACAAAATAAACTTATATGTCTGATTTCTATCACATCAAGCTTTTGTACTCAAGTAAGGGCTTTCTCCAGAAGCAGGGGCTCCTCCTATATTCTTATCCCCTTTATTAGTCATTATCAGCATTAACAAAGCACAAAGCCTCAAAAACAAAATAGTTGTGTAGCAAGGCCAATGGCCTTTAAAATTTTTCCTTAGAATTGAGGTGCTGGCTTTACCAGTTGCAGTCCTAGATAGTGCAAATCATGTACCCTGTAATGGATTACAGATACTCAGTTCAGTTTGTAAAAAAATCCCTGCTCTAGGAGAAATGTCAGTACTGACCTGAACTAGAGCACTGGAGGTAGGGTCAAGTTCTGATCCCAGCAGCTGGTATGTGACCTTGAGTGAGTCACTTCACATCTGGACTATCAGGGAAATGGGGACAGTTGAGATGATGGAGTAGAATTCAGTGTTTCTGAACTAGAGATCTACATCCGAGTGTCCAGGCTCTATTCCAGACTACTGAGTCAGGAGCCTCGGCATCCATTTTTGTATTCTTAAAAAAGCTCCCTGGGTAAAACTGGGACGGTAAGCATTTCTTAGCGCCCCCCCAAGACACATAGGAGTAAGGACTCTTGTATTTTTGTTGTTAAACACATTCAGCAAAGTATTTTTAGTTCCATTCACGTTATGAACAGAGATCTTACTTTGAATTTGGCTTTTCAGAACATAACTCAAAACTCTGAAATTGTGGTTGGCTTGCTTTTAATTTAGTTTTTGGAGAATTTTTAGGCAGTCGGTTGAATTTAGTGCTGGAGATTAAGTAGCCACCAGGGGGCTTCAGTGAGTTATACAGGTTCGTTGAGTCTTACTGGTGAATCCTCCAAGTACCATGTAATGTCATCTGTTTATTTACTGAGCTTGAATTTAGGATCTAAAAGCAGAAGGTCTGTCAATTTGAATTATGTGCTGTTCCTTTTCCTTCCTTATAACACCTCTTAAGAGCATTTTGGATGTACATAGAGATCTGTTGTATTAGCAGTCAGTTCTCCAGAAAGTTCAGTTTCTTTTTTTTTATTATTTTTTAAAAGATTTTATTTATTTATTTGACAGAGAGAGGGACACAGTGAGGGAGGGAACACAAGCAGGGGGAGTGGGAGAGGGAGAAGCAGGCTTCCCGCGGAGCAGGGAGCCCGATGCGGGGCTCGATCCCAGGACCCTGAGATCATGACCTGAGCCGAAGGCAGACACTTAACCGACTGAGCCACCCAGGCGCCCCAAAAGTTCAGTTTCTTATCTTATGCTCTGATTAGGAATCTTAATACAAAACTTGCAGTAACAGAAGTGATAAAAGATCTGCAGTACTTAATATGTACTTTCTCAAAGCTAGTATGGCACAGCTACCTGATGGCATGTAGACCATCTAGCATAGAACACTGCTTTAAATCAGTTATTTTGCGCATTATCTTACTGCTTGGGTGGCAGGTAGAACTGGGGGTTCACAGCACTTTTATTATTTTTTTTATTCATTCATTTTTTTTTTTTTTTAAGTAGGCTCTATACCCAATGTGGGGCTCTATCTTACGACCCTGAGTTCAAGAGTCACATGTTCTACCAACTGAGCCAGCCAGGTGCCCCCAAAGCACTTTTATTTATTTATTTATTTATTATGATTTTATTTATTTATTTATTTATTTATTTATTTATTTATTTATTTATTTATTTATTTATTATGATTTTATTTATTTATTTGAGAGAGAGAGAATGAGAGACAGAGAGCACGAGAGTGAAGAGGGTCAGAGGGAGAAGCAGACCCCCTGCCGAGCAGGGAGCCCGATGCGGGACTCATCCCGGGACTCCAGGATCATGACCTGAGCCGAAGGCAGTCGCTTAACCAACTGAGCCACCCAGGCGCCCCCCAAAGCACTTTTAAATAAAGCCTTAAAGTCCTTTTAAGTGTTAGGCTAATTGTAATTTCTTTTTACTCCCTTTAATATATGCTAAGTGTATTGTACTGTGATGATGAATTGGTTAGTTGCATTTGTTAGTATCGGAAAGGGAAGAGCCAGCTGGGCCTTTTGAGTCTTCCAAGCAACTGTTAGGAACAAGGCATTTGTGCTTAGGCTGAGAATTTCTCCGCTTTATTACCAATGGGTTCATATTAACACACTTCCATTACTCTTTGTAACTATTTAGGGAGAAATTTCTGTTTTAAAGATTTCTCAGTCATTGTAGAAATCTGTATTCCAGGCTATATATATTTGGAATTTCTGGGTCCCTCCTGGGAAGGTAGACAAGGAATCTTGAAGAGGAAGCTCTTTTTCTCTCTTTTATTTTTTTTAAGATTTTATTTATTTGACAGAGAGACAGTGAGAGAGGGAACACAGAGGGAGTGGGAGAGGGAGAAGCAGGCTTCCCGCTGAGCAGGGAGCCCAGTGCGGGGCTCGATCTCAGGACCCCGGGATCATGACCTGAGCTGAAGGCAGACGGTTAACTGACTGAGCCACCCAGGTGCCCCGATGAAGCTCTTTTTCAGAAGAACACAATCTAAGCACAAAGATACTTTGTAAAAAGTCAAGTTGATTCTCCATTATGATATAACCATTACACAGTGAGATACTGTAGATCAAGGTATGTCCCCTGAGACATTAAGTAGAGCAAGATGGGTAATATATAAGGAGGGAATTAAAGCTATTCTCCAAAGCAAGGTTTGTGGGAAGAATGTGAGGACATAATATTGCATGTCCTGTCTCTGTTGCAGGTCGAGTTGTGTTTAGAGTGCATCGAATGGGCCAAATCAGAGAAACGAACTTTCTTACGCCAAGCCTTGGAGGTATGTGCCTACATTAGTGCTGCTTTCAGGTCTCTAGGCATTGGACAGGCTGTGAATATAAGTAACACCATTCTGATCAAAAGTATTTTCAGTAATTTTGTATTAGCCAGGCACCCAAAGATTATTGATAGTGATCCCACTCATGAGAATACCTGCTGTGTGGCTCAGAGAAGTAAGCAGCCGGACAGTGAGCTTAACAGTCACTGGCCATAGTAGCAGATAGTACCATGGGCTACGTCGTTGCTTAGGCTGGATTTGATGCTCTCTCCAGAACTTGTATATTCAACAGTAACAGTTCTGTGACTGTCAATCTTTGATTTCTTTCTTTGGCTTTTTTCCTTTCTTTCTATCAGTCAATGCCTTTTCTCTTTCCTAGGCAAGACTGGTGTCTTTGTACTTTGATACCAAGAGGTACCAGGAAGCATTGCATTTGGGTAAGTAAGCTGGTAGAAAGTAATAAGGCGACCTAGCTGGCTAAATAAATGTATTCTGAACCTGGCCACTCTTATTAGTTACATATTAATAATTTATGTTCTGCCTACTTCTAAGAAGGATTTAAAGTGGCTTTGCATTTACTGAATCTGTCATGGAGAAATGCCATTTGGAAGTTCTAAGTAACTTACCAGAGTTAATCTGTCAAATTTAGAAAACCAAAGGGTCAAACTGCAACTGTTTTACTATTATGTTTATTATACTTGTTTATAATTACACTTAAAATTTATTTTAAAACTCAAGAAATTAATTGGTGCAAATGTATATGGTGACTAGAGTGAGCTTACTAAAGCCTTTCCCCTGTGTGGCCTTTGAACACCCTGAAGTCTTTGCCTGCTGCTTTTTTTTTTTTTTTTTTAATTGGTAGATTTGGACTGTTTTCCCCAGATCGAACAACATGGCTTCTCATGATATTAAGGTGAAAAAATTGCCAATATTCAGTTTTTATCCTGCAAAATGGCATTTCATTTGGTTCAAACGAATAGTAGCATTAAGAAGATGTTTTTTTTTTTTTTTAAGTTTTATTTATTTAAGTAATCTGTACACCCAGTGTGAGGCTTGAATTCACGACCCCAAAATCAAGAGTCGCATGCTCTTCTGACTGGGCCAGCCAGGCGCCCCCCAAAATAAGGTTTATTGAGATGTAATTCATAGACCATAAAATTCACCCTCTTAAAAGTGTATGATCCAGTGGTTTTTAGTATATTCATAGTTGTACAGTCATCACCACAATCCGATTGCAGAACATTTCATCACCCTGGAAAGAAACCTTGTAACCATGTACCCATTAGTTATCATTCCCGTTCCCTCCCCCTGCCAGGCAACCACTAATCTACTTTCTGCCTCTATGGATGTGTCTGTTCTGGACATTTCATATAATATGTGGTCTTTGTGATTGGCATCTTTCACTTAGCATGTGTTCATGTTATCCATGTTCATGTTATCCATGTTGGAGCATGTATCACTACTTTGTTTTTATTGCCGAATATCCATTGTGTGCTTATGCCACATTTTAGCTATCTTTGTGGGGGTGAAAGTCGTATCTCATTGTGGTTTTGATTTGCATTTCCCTAGTGACTAGTGATGTTCAGCATCTTTTTATGTATTTATTGGCCATTTATATGTCTTTGGAGAAATATTTATTCAATCCTTTGCTTATTTTTTAATTGGGTTGTTTGTGTTTTTATTGTTTGTTCTGGATAAAAGTCCCTTACCAGATACATGATTTGCAATTTTTTTCTCCATTTTATGAATTACTTTTTCACTTTCTTGAGTAGTGTCCTTTGAGGCACATTTTAATTTAAAGTCCATTTATTTATTTTTAATTTAATCTTATTTTTGAGAGAGTGTGTGCATGCGCGCGAGTGGGGGGTGGAGGGGGGTGGAGAGGGAGAGAGTCTAAGCAGTCTCCATGCTCAGCGTGGAGCCCGACACATCTTGATCTCACAACCCTGATATGACCTGAGCCGAAATCCAGAGTTGGATGCTTAACTGAGCCACCCAGGCGCCCATAAGTCCCATTTATTTATTTTTTGTTGCTTATGCTTCTGGTATCATACCTAAGAAATCATTGCCTAATTCCAGATCACAAAGATTTACTACTGTGTTTCATGGGTTTAGCTCTTAGGTTCAGGTCTTTGACTTATTTTGAGTTAATTTTTATATATGATGCAAGTCTGTTTGGATTTGATTTCCTCATCTGAGATGGGAAGAAGGTGTATTTGGAGAGCATTGGCATGTCCAGAACTCTTTTCTTCCCCTACCAACCTTAGTGCCTGCCATTTCTTATATAGTCGTTGGATTCCTAGACAGGAAGAGAATGCGATCTAGTGGCTGTCTGAACTGAATAACTAGTTTCAGCGTGTTCTGGGTGGAACTTCTCATTGTATTCAAATCTTCGAAGGAAGCTTATAGGACTTTTGGCTCTAATGTTTTCATTAGTGTGCCAAAAACTTGAAAGAGATCTGTGTTTCTTTTTGGGAAGATAACATGTTAGTAAAAAAATTTAATTCTTGCAAATAGACCACTTCTCTTTGAGTTCAGGCAGGTTTCTTTATCCTAAGTGTTCTTGTGAGGGTGGGAGAGTGAGATGTTCTAGTATTAAGGTATTATGATTATGGCTAACAAAGGGGTATATATTTTTTCCTGCTCTAGGTTCTCAGCTGCTGCGGGAGTTGAAAAAGATGGATGACAAAGCCCTTTTGGTGGAAGTACAGCTTTTAGAAAGCAAAACATACCATGCCCTGAGCAACCTGCCGAAAGCCCGAGCTGCCTTAACCTCTGCTCGAACTACAGCAAATGCTATCTACTGCCCCCCTAAATTGCAGGCCACCTTGGATATGCAGTCAGGTAACACCCTAGCTACTCATGGGATGTTTTCTTAAAGCTCTTCTTATTTCACAGTGGGGAATGGGTAATTGGCTAATTCCGCTCAAACTTCTCAGAGAAACCCAATTAGAAGGGTACCTTCCCTCCTATTAACTTGTTAACTGTCTAAAATATATTAAGAACATGCTTATCTGTGGCTGGCCAGGCAACCTGTTTGTTAGAGCCAATACCCTGATAGGTTTAAAAAGCTCCCTTAACCTCCATTTGAGTCACTCATTTAGGGGGTGCTATTTCTCTCCAGGGTTAGACTAACTCAAGTCTGTTGTAACTTGGAGACCTTGGTAAAGCATATTGGACTTTTCCAAAGGGCCTCAGATCAGGGCTAAGGAAGGCCTCCTCCACTATCCTGCATTTCAGTTGAATATAGTGGATACCTTTCTGGTGGAGTGTGTGAATATTAGGCTCAGAGGTCATGGATTGGCAGTGGAATGCTTTTTCTTGTGGTCAGCAGCTTTTATTAGTCATAGTTTATCATCATTATGGAAGGAACGCTGGAATTGGAGGCAGAAAACTAGTGTAAGTCCTGGTGTTACCTTCCTGCAATCTTTTTTCCATATTTGTGTAAGAGAAAGAATGCCTGCACTATCAGCTTATCAGGTATTGTGAGTAGCAAATGGCTTATTTAGTCATTCAGAGATTAAGAGGAGGAGCTCAACAGACCACCTTTCCTAGGTTGAAATTTTGGTTCTGTCAATTTGATTCTGTCAAATTTTGGTTCGTGTGACTTGGGCAAGTTACTTAATACATCTTTAGTTCGGGCGCCTGAGTGGCTCAGATGGTTAAGCGTCTGCCTTCGGCTCAGGTCATGATCCCAGGGTCCTGGGATCGAGTCCTGCATCAGACTCCCTGCTAGACGGGGAGCCCGCTTCTCCTCTGCCTCTGCCTCTCTCTCTGTCTGACTCTCATGAATAAATAAATAAAACATTAAAAAAAAAAATCTTTCGTTCATCTGTAAAATGGTGATAATAATCATACCTCCTCATAGGATTGTGGTGAGGATTCAGTGATGATGAATGTGAAGCTCTTACCGCAGTATCTCGCTTGGACCAATATTGGCACTTTCTTTAAGCTGCTACTCTTTCATTATGCCGGTCCTTCAGGGACAAGAGGTGAATTATTTCGCAGAGGAAATAGAGGCCATGTTTACGTGAATCCTCCCCTCTTTCCTCTCCAGAATTTGTATCACAGCCCAGTTTACTCCATATTAAGAATGATTCTTTCACCTGTCTTTTTGTTCCATTCTAAGTCTTCAGTCTTTCTTCTCCACTTGTATCTTTCTCTTTGTCCTTGAACTGCCCCAGCTGCAAAAAGCACAGCCCTTTCTCCTTTTTAAATTGCTGTCTTCTTTTCTGTCAAGTTTCTGTCAACTTCTGAAAAAGTTGAAAGAGTATCCTTACTTTGGGGTCTCTTTTGACTCCTTGAAAGAAGTCAGTAACTCCCTTATAACCTCTGACTTTCAGGGGGAAGCTGACCCTATTGAACACTCCAGGCTTCTTTGACATCACTGTCTTCCTCATTCTCCTCCCTCGACTAATTGTCCTTGGTCACACTTTGCTGTTTCCTCTTCCTTCTTACTTTTAAGTGGGGGTGTTCCTCAGTGTTGATTCCTTAGTTTTTTTTCCATTCCTATTCTCTGTTTCCTATCTAAAATGCCATACTCACCCATGGCTTCAGCTGCTGCATGCCACTAGTGGTCTCCTCACCTAGATCTGCAGTAGCTTCCCTCTCTCCTAAATTGTAGATTCAGATTTCCAGCTGCATAATGGACATACATACCTAAATGCCTCGTAAGTGTCTCAGCCTCAACATGTCAAAAAGCAAAATTATTATCTAACTCCTCCCTCAATCTTCTTTTTCCTATTCAAGTTAATGGTATCATTATTGATTTAATATTGCTCAAGCTATTGTCTTTGGAGTAATTTTGACTCCTTTTTCTCCTCACCCCTCATATCCAGTCAGTTGCTAGATCAGGTGGAGTCTGTCCCCAAACCTACCCTTTCTTTTCCATCTCTACAGTCATTGCTCTAATGAAGGCCTAGGCCATTGGAGCAGTCTTCTGCTGATCTAACTGTCCTTGATCCCTTTTTCCAATCCACTTTTTTTTAACTGGCCCCAAAGTCATTTTTCTCAAACACAGATCAGATCATGTAACTCCTTTGTTTGAAATTCTCCAGTGGTTCCCCATTATCCACAGGCTACATTTTACTTTAACATGGTATGCAAAAGGAAGGCATCTTTTCCTTTTCATCAGTTACCAGATGATTTCGAGTGTTCTTGCCGTTGTGCCTTTGTGTATTTTGTCTTCTTTGCTTGGAAATTCCCCTTCTCATCTATTCCCTTGGCAAAGACTCAGGTATCCTTCCAGATCCAGTTCATGTCTCCTCTATAAACCCTCTCTAGTGCCTTCTTTTCTTTTGGACTTCCCCTCTCAAAGCTGTATTTTTTTGTACATATTGTGGTACTAATCTTGTTTCTGTTTTGGTGATCATCTTTCCTGCTATCAGACTGTGGGCTTCATGAGGGCCTTTTATTCATACTTATTTCCACTGTAGTAACTGTATCAGTGGCTGGCAGATCATAGACCTTCGTTAATATTTGTGTTGAATGAGTGACAGTCTAGTTTTTTGTTTTTGTTTTTTTTAAAATAATAAACCTCATATACTAGCCTTGATGCTTGGAGTCCTAATGTGGGCCCTATTTATTAATGTATTTGGGAAAGCAGTGTACCAGTTCTTGGGCCTTATTTTACTTTTTTTTTTTTTTAAACCAGTCTAATTGTGGGCCTGGTCTATTCTCTTCTAGCTTTGGACCAGGAGGTATGGGGAATGGGGATTTATCTCCTCTAGTTTAGCAGTGTTAATAGTTTGTTGGACAGTCTTGGGGGAGCTCAAGAGAAGGGTGGAGTTTCTCCAGCTCTCTGTAGATAAGAACAGTAGAGAACAACGGTCTGATTCCTTTAGCCTCAAAATGAGAGGCTTCTTGGGTAGAGTAAAAAGTACTAGGGTGTGATACATTTCACTCAGTAAATGGTATTAAGTCAGAAGTTCCCAGATGGTGTGGAGGCACACAGCTATGTGATGATAGGTGGGTTAAAAATGTGCTGAAACACTCTTCCCTTGGGTCATGTATAAGCACTTCCATCCTTTTACTTCAAGGTGCTGAGTACTTTCTCTTTGTACCTCGATGTGAAAAATGTTGGGAAGCACTGTGGTAAACAAGTGAGGCTGAGGTCTTTAACCTCATAAAGGTCTGAAGCAGTTAGAACCGATACACACTCTGAGGACTTAGATGCCTCCCAAGCTAGAAAGAACTAAATTTTGTGTTATCCCAGGTGATAGCATAGGTTGGCAGTCAATCAAAGTTAGCTTCATTGGGATCAACCCAACTTCTAAACAGTAGAGACTTGTTTGGGGCACCTGGGTGGCTCAATTGTTAAGCGTCTGCCTTCGGCTCAGGTCATGGTCCCAGGGTCCTGGGATCGAGCCCCGCATCGGGCTCCCTGCTCCGCGGGAAGCCTGCTTCTCCCTCTCCCACTCCCCCTGCTTGTGTTCCCTCTCTCACTGTGTCTCTCTCTGTCAAATAAATAGATAAAATCTTTAAAAAATAAATAAATAAACAAACAGTAGAGACTTGTTTAGATAAACTGTGGCATCTCAGCCTGAGTAAATACTGCTTAACCCTGTACAGTTAAATTAATTTCATGGATCTGGCATTATATGAAATCTATATATTGATTGCATCTAGGCAAAAGCACATCTGTAAATGACAACTATCTGAAGCGAGAGTATAAGAGGTTAGATTTTTTTCTCTTATGAGAGCTACTTACATACAAAAATGTCAAGCTTAGAAAAGCTATCTTAGGGGCACCTGGGTGGCTCAGTTGGTTAAGTGACTGCCTTTCGGCTCAGGTCATGATCCTGGAGTCCCGGGATCGAGTCCTGCTTTGGGCGCCCTGCTCAGCAGGGAGTCTGCTTCTCTTCCTGACCCTCCCCCCTCTCTTGTGCTCTCTCTCTCTCATTCTCTCTCAAATAAATAAATAAAATCTTAAAAAAAAAGAAAAGCTATCTTAAAGGAATGTTGTTAAAACAGGTTATGCAGGCAGTCCAGGGATGTTTGGGTCCTGACCTATGAGGGTGATGTCCTGAGGGGTAACTATGGCCTTTTCTAGGGGCTTCAAGAGATAGCAGAACCGCAGTGGTGATGAGAAGCATGGGGAAAGATGTTAGTACGTAGTTTTTAGGATCCCCTTTAAGTAGGGTCTCTAACTCCTTTGGGATTTATATTGTCAAGATGATATTGAACAGGGAGACTGAAGACCTGGGTTCTCATCCCAGCTTTACCACTAGCTGGCAGTGACTTTGGGGCAGGTCCTTTATCCTTTTCTGATGTCATCACCTAGTAGATGGGGTTGGGATAGATTTTGGAGGCTCTTTCCAGCTCTGATCTTTGATGGTTCTGTTATTTTATATGGTTTTACTCCTTTCTTCTCATGTCCAGGTATTATCCATGCAGCAGAAGAGAAGGATTGGAAAACTGCATACTCCTATTTCTATGAGGCGTTTGAGGGTTATGACTCCATCGATAGCCCAAAGGCTATCACATCCCTGAAGTACATGTTGCTGTGCAAAATCATGCTCAACACGTAGGTGCACATTAACTTGGGGATATGAGAACTCAAGTTCTTCACCTCAGTTTCTGCCATGCAGACATAGCTTGCACAGGGAGTGGGGCTGGTTAGAAGCAGCAGCTGCGCCTCTGGGGCTTGTTGACATAAGGTGGGAGGATCGAAGGAGTTCCAGAGTGTTTTTGCTTGCTAGTCTTTGAGAATTGGGGAGACAGATTAGAGAAATCTCCTTTCCAGACTCTTGGAGTGTTCTCATCATCCTGCAGTTATTCTGACCAGGGAGTTGCTGAGCACCAGAGGGTTTGGAAATAGCTTACAGTCCAGCACTGGCCAACTGGGCCAACCAGAATGGGGGGGCAGTTAAGGAAGACATTAGGGAGAGGTTTGAGAAGGGGAACAACAGCAAGTAGGACAGATCTTTTTATAAGGAATTCTGCAGAATTTATCCACATTCCTTTGGGAATAAATGTGATATTGACTAGGACCTTTTGGATCTTCGCATTACACAGGGCTTGTGTTTTAACAAGACCTGTTGTCTGGGGATTTGACTTAGATTTATCATCCTGCCTGTTGGGTCTATTACTTTTGGTACATTCATTGTGGCTTTCTTTTTAATGCTGGAGTTTTTCTACTCTTCAGGGCTGGGCTTGGGCCTAGGGTAGAGATAGCCTGGCTTCTGTGAGGTGAGGGACATAATGAGTTTAGGGGTGGGGACTCTTACCGTCGTGGGCAGGCTTCTCAGTGAAATTCTGAGAAAAAGAAATTTGTTAAACCCATACTTAGAAGCATAACGTCCTGGAGCAGGGACCAAGTATGTCTTTTTTTTTTTTCTAGCCCTGAAGATGTCCAGGCTTTGGTGAGCGGGAAGCTTGCACTTCGGTATGCGGGGAGACAGGTAGGGAATACCTTGACTGTAATTGTCATCTCTGCTCACTCTGAAGCCAGTCCATTGTCAGTCATGATGCCCCGTTGAGACCAGTGCTCTTCATGTCTCCATTCTGTATTCTCTGCGTGGCCCCCCCGCCACTCCTCCTGCCACCCCTTAAGCCCATTCCGTGTATTTTCTGTACTGTTAAATCCTTGGCCTGGAGGGTCAGTGTTTGGTGCTTTAATGGACATAGGGAGTTATAGAACTGAAGTGTAGCATTTGCACAAGTTAGGCTGCATTTAGCTTTGACCAAAAAATTTATCTATCATGAGCCTGACTTGCAAACTTAACGTGTGCAGAACATGAAGTGTTGGATTCTCCAGGAGTCTGGAGCTTGGTAAGGTCTGGTGCACATGTGCTTTATAGGGAGGTTGAAGTGCTTAGGGCAGGAACTGGGTTTTGAAGGCTCACCCGAGTGCTTCTCAGTACCTTTCCACTCATGTCCTGAGTTTTGAGTGTGGTGCAAGAGGCCTTTGATAGTCGGTAGCCCCTTTTGTGCCTGAGTAGGTATGGGTATGACCTGTGTAAAGGTGGTCTCAGATGCCTGGACTATCCCTTCTTTGTACTTTGTTTGATTATCAGTAGTAAAGTAAAAGTAATCTTTCTAGATTCCAAATGCATTTGTCTCCAAACAATAGACACATTAGCAATCTCCTGTCTTTGGAGGGATGGCCACAACAGACGGTTTCTTTCTTTTTTACAAGTGACCCTAGTTTTGGGCTCCTAGTTTTGACCACAGTAATAGTTGTTATTACTATAGTGAAGGACCTACTGCTCTATCTAGAATTAGAGTTGAGGGAAATGGGCTAAGAGAGGTCAAGTGTCCGGGACAAGGGACAAGGTCAGATAACTATTAAATGGTGGAGCCAGACTTTAAACTTGGGTTATCTGGCTTAGTTCCAGGCTTTTCTCATTATGACATTTGTTCTGTCTATGGGACAAAGGCCGAGACAGGATACATTAATGATTAGTTTTGCACCATTTCAAAGTCTGCAATATAACACACACCATCCTTATGTAGGTGCATAGGCTGGTACCAGAAGAGCTCCTTCTGGTCTTTTGTACCTTGATGACAGCTTTCAAGGAGGTGTCAGGACAGACTCTCAGAAAGATTATAGATTTGTTGCTGAGTGGAGACTTGGTAGCTTGGTGAGGTGCCTTTTACAACCAGGTTAGAAGGTGACCTCAACAACTGATTGTACCTTCCTCCCTCTGTGGCTTTTTTTTTTTTTTTTTTAAGATTTTATTTATTTGTCAGAGAACACAAGTGGGGGAGTGGCAGGCAGAGGGAGAAGCAGGCTCCTCACTGAGCAAGGAGCCTGATGTGGGACTCGATCCCAGGACCGTGGGATCATGACCTGAGCTGAAGGCAGTTGCTTAAATGACTGAGCCACCCAGGCATCCCTCTCTGTGGCATTTTAACATTGAGTGTAATATGGGTGGCTCAACCCTGATGAAAGTAGACCCTGGCTCAGGCTCTGTACCACACCTAGCGGAGTAAGACTTGATGAAGCACAGGTACGACCTGAGGCTAAGGGCAAGAAAGAGTTTGTGGGCTTTGGGGATAAGGAGTCTTGGAGGAGGGGGAAAGAGATCACAGTTCTCTGGTCATTTTTTCTTTTAGCTTGTTATCTTGGGAGAATGCTATATAAGGGCCTTTTTTCTTTTTCTTCTTTTTAACTTCCTATTTCCTAGTATTTTTAAGTCATTTCAGGTTTCAAAGGGAGATTGGTTGGGACACAGTGGTGGTGTTCTAGCTCTTCTTCCCCGGCCTCTGAAGAAGATCAGTGGTGGAGTGGGATCTTCCTTGCAGCCAGAAGTTGTGTGGACATAGCAAACTGCTTAGGACATTTATTGGGTGGGATGTGAGTGTGCAGAGTAGATCGCTGTCACTGTTTTTCTCTTTACTCTTAGACAGAAGCATTAAAATGTGTGGCGCAGGCTAGCAAGAACAGATCACTGGCAGATTTTGAAAAGGTAAGCATGGTATTGGGTTGGTAGGGAATGGGTGGAGGAGAGGGGCATTTACATACTTAAAAAAACCTTTTTATTTGTGAATAATTATAGTTTCACAAGAATTTTCGAAGATAGTACACAGTGATCCCGTGTACCATTCACCCAGTTTTCCCCAGTGGTTACGTCTTAATTACAGCACAGTATCAAAGTCTGCAAATAGTTAAGCACTTTTGTACAGTGAAACTTGTTGAGTTGTAATACCTCATTTATATATAGTACCTTTCAGTTTCAAAAAGCTCTTTCCATCCGGGGTGCCTGTGTGGCTCAGTCAGTTAAGTGTCTGACATGATCTCAGGGTCCTGGGAACAAACCCCACGTTGGGGAGTCTGCTTCTCTCTCTCCCTCTCTCTGCCCCTCCCCCTGCTCATGCTCTCTCTCTCTCTCTCTCGCTCTGCTCTCTCAAATAAATAAAATCTTAAAAAAAATTGTTCTTTCATCTTTTTTCACCTTGATTTTTCACAGCATACCCCTTCTCTGCATTTTATGGTTGAGGGAGCGGGGGCTCAATGAGGGTGCCGGAAGCCCCCCGGCTCACATGTCAGGGATCGACGCCAGCCCTGCCACTTGTTCCTCGGCTCCAGAAATGCCAACTCTGCTTCTCTGGGGGCAAAAGAGAAGTCTTAATGTGTGCAAACGGACCAAAAGACACTTCCTGAGGTTGACCTTCCAGGCTCGCTTTGCCTCCTGTGACTTTTACTCATTGTTAGCAAAGGTTGGAAATGGGAGGAAAACATGCCTGAGCAGTAGAGTGAGACTTGTATATTCTCTTCTGAGCCTCTCTTCTCTGAGTTTAATGACCAATTTAATAAAAACAAACGTAGATCTAGGAAGAAAAACTTAGTGTGGACGGAGGCTAGACCATTTGGCTCTGGCTGTCCCCGAGATTCATCATCTTCGTTGAGCTTTCTTGCCAATTTCACTTCCTTACTTGGCATGATTTGCTTGCTTCTCTTAACACCTTATAGCACATCTGACAGGCTGGATATTGAGACCATTTCTCAAAATAAATTATATACATGAATAAACAAAATAGACTAGATAATTTTATCCTAAAGTTTGGGATGTTTGATGGGACACTTCTATTAGTAGGGGTTCCTTGGGGTAAGGGCGTGGGAAACACGAGGGCTAAATAAAATTAGGTGTTTTGCTTTCTGTTAACTGCCCAACTGTATGTTGATGTGCTTGTAAAAGTCCACGAGCCAGTTGTGGGATTCAGCATTTCCCATTATTTTTTATTTCTTACTTTATAAGAGAGAGAGCGAGCAAGCTCGCAGGCACAGAGGGGGAAGGGCAGAGGGGGAGAGAGCAGGTCCATGCCCAGCCCGACATGGGGCTCGATCTCAACGACCCTGAGATCATGACCTGAGCCAAAATGAAGAGTCAGACCCTTAACTGACTGAGTCACCCACGCACCCCAAGCATTTCCCATTATTTAACCTCAGAATTCTTCCCCCCCCCCTTATTTTTCCTGGGTACCCTCTTTGCTCTGTGGGATACCTGGGGACAACTGCTTGCGTAGTGGATTTGGCTTTCAAGCTAAGCTGTTCTTGGGGCTTACATGGTTTGGGCTGTCAACGTGAGGCTTTCCAACAGAAAGATGGTGCCTAGAAAGGGCTCCATCTTTTAGTTCCTGATGTTTCTTTTCTTCTTCCTTCTGTCATAACTCTTTCATCTCAAATCCTCTAGAACTTGAGTCACCCATGTGTTTACAAGGTCCAGCAGACTACTTAGGAAGCCAGGGGTGGTGGCGTGGCTTTACATGCTTCTCTGTGCCAGTCTCTGTGACCGTCTTTCTTGGCAGGCCCTGACAGATTATCGGGCAGAGCTCCGGGATGACCCAATCATCAGTACACACTTGGCCAAGTTGTATGATAACTTACTGGAACAGAACCTGATCCGAGTCATTGAGCCTTTTTCCCGAGTTCAGGTAAGGACCCTCCTGGGGACTCTAGTTCTTCTGTGGCTAGGCATCCTCTCTAGTCCCCTCCCTTCCCACACCTGTCCAGAATAGGAACTTGCTTCCAAGACTGTGTCTGGTGGGCAAGAGGCTTGGGCTTTTCTTGACATAGAACAAGAGTTGAGGGCGAGCTGTGGGGGGTGGAGGCTGGTGAGATTGCCCCTGCTTGTCCTGAGTGCAGTCTGCTCCTTGCTTCTGTAGTCACTGTGCATGTGGTAGACGTCTGTGTTCCAGGGGTGTGGGACAGGAGTGTGTATTGTCTAGTGATGAGAGGCAGGCAGGCAGACCGACAGAGCACGAGAGGCCTGAGCCTGACCAAAGAGAGTCTGCCCCGGGGAGATGCTCGGCTGGGTTTCAGCGGACTTGGCAATCCCAGCCCCACCCTGCCCCCAGGTTAGAGGTGGAAGTAGGACTCTCAGTGTCGCTGTCTCTCTGCCTTTTTTTGTAGATTGAACACATATCTAGCCTCATCAAACTCTCCAAGGTAAGGAGTCCTGAGCTTGTCTTGGGAGCAGGGACGGGGAAAGGGCCATGTGGAGGCGGGTAACATTTCCACTCAATGGGCCTTGTTGGAAAGTCCTCAAACTTCATAGTGTGGAATGGGGACCGTGAGCTCAGAGCTTGAGTTACATTGTTGCTGTTTGGTTTACAATTCATTTGCCCTTTTATACAGAACTTTCTTGTCAGTGTGATCTTTGACTAGTGGATACCGGTCCCTTTAATCATGTGCTTTGATTTTAGGCCGACGTGGAAAGGAAATTGTCACAGATGATTCTTGACAAGAAATTTCATGGTGAGTAACAGTGGTGAAGCGGTTGACACATCACGTTCTTGTTTATCTTGAAAGGAGATGTTCCATTTGTTTCACCTGGTAGCTCCCTACGGTTGTCGCCCCTCTTATCCCTGTGATGAGAAAGCATAATAAACATGCCCAAATAGAACACAGAGATGATTTCTGGTTCTCCTCCTTTCTGGAGAAAGGGAGGCAGCTAGGGAGTGGGCTGCTTCTCAAGTGCCTTTTTGTCTAATCCCTTCTTTTACCTGGTTGCCCTTGTGTTTCCTGCAGGGATCTTGGACCAGGGGGAGGGTGTCTTGATTATTTTCGATGAACCCCCAGTAGATAAAACTTACGAAGCTGCTCTGGAAACAATTCAGAACATGAGTAAAGTAGTGGATTCCCTCTACAACAAAGCCAAGAAGCTGACATAGGTGAGTGCTGGCTCCGGGCCCTGGGCCTGGGCAGCGCCGTCTTCTGCCTTCTAGACTGAAAGCATCTGGGTGGCCTCGAAGCTTCCCTGAATGACACTGCTCTGTCTTCTCTTGCAGAGTTGGATCTGTAGCGGTCCTTTGGAGAGTGTGTGTGGCGGGAGAGTGAAACCTTTGGGGAAAATGCTAGGAGATTTTTTTCTTTTTGTTCTACTTTTCGCTCGGAAAGTTTTTAAATCCTCATTTGGTGCATCTGTATTCCAGCCAATAGGTGTGCCAGTTTTCATGTAATCTTTACTGGCCCAACTTGGGAGTGGGGAAATTGCTTAAAAAAAAAAGAAAAAGAAAAAAAAAAAAGGTTATTCTAAATAAAAGGAAAAAGGCTTACACTACCTAAAGCTGTGCTCTCTGCCTCCGGGGAGAGGGCCACAAAGCCAGGCGCCCCGCCAACCACTGGGGCTCCTAATCCACCTGCTGGGCGTCACCTCTCCTCCTCTTCAGAATTGGGTGTTTGCCTGACCATCAAAGCAACGACTTTTTATTCTGTTTGTACTGAACCAAAACAAACAACTGTGTATAGACTGCTATTTTCTTTTTTATTTGAAACGAGGTGTTTCGGTGTTCTTTCCCCTGCCACATGGCCTGTCACCCGCCCTCCCCCCCAACAATGGCTCCAGCAGACTGGCCAGAGGGCCCGCCGCCGCCGCCGCCCCTGCACAGCTCCGCGCCGGCCTGTGGAGGAATGGGGACGAGGCCAGGAGCTAGTGTCCACCGGCGCCACACGGGAGCAGTGTGGGCCCTTGGGGGGCCTGCTGTGCATGTGGCTCTTTTTAACACAGTAAACTAGATTAGATGTCAGTGTTTTAATTGCCCTTCTCTGCTCTTCTCTCTGTCCCTTCTCTTTCCCCTCTCAACCAGGAGACCATCCCATGTCTCTCTTCCTCCCTCCTTCCCCTCTAGGGGAGTCAGGCTGTCTGAAATCCATCGGCTTCTCTCCCTGTCCCACTCCTCCTCCCGCTGTCAGATGGATTTAGTCTTTTTTTTAAACAAGTGAACATTGGAAATGAGACTGTGGGGTGTGGGTTTTCTTTCTTTTTTTCTTTTTTTTTTTTTTTTAAACCTTTGTTGTCAGGTTTTCGAGCAACCTCATGTCCCCCTCCCAGGGAGCTGCTTTATTTACCTCTTAGAAACCAAACGGCTGGGAGGTAGAGCATTGTATTTCAGCATGCTTTGTTTTATGATGAGATCACATAGAGAAGCTTTCGTGCCATTTGGGCAGGTAAGCTTCTGCACCTCTGTCGTGCCCAGCTATATTTCTGCCTCCTCTCATCTGTCTTCTCTTTTCCTCCTCCCCTCATGCCTCCTTCCTGCTGGCCTCCTTTTCTCTTTCTTTCCCTTTCTCAGATTATCCTTCCAGGTTTTCGTAATAAATTTATATTTTGTAAAAGGATTTTGTTGAACCAGGTTTTGCATCCTCACTGAATCTGACTGGCTTTTACTTTCCTCTCCAAAATCAGGTTTTTGTTCTCAACATTTCTCCCCATCATGTCCAGTCACTGTTTTGGTTTTGGCACCATCAATATCAAATGTACAAACGGTTCTTGCTAACCAACACCAGGTATATCTGATGTTCAGATGAGTTCCAATAAAATTTTTTTTTTCAAAAAGTGTCCTTTCTTGAGTGCTGGAGGGCTTCTGATCAAGTCCACACAGCTCTGTAGCCTTTTAGACTGGCTAAAGCTCTGGTACCTCATTTGCTTCATGAGACCTTTAGATCTGGGGTAAAGTGGAGGGATTTGGATAAGAAGGTTGGTCGGTAAGGTCTGAAATGGGAAGTGGTGTGCAGGGATCCTTCTGTTTTTCCAGGGCAACATGGTCCAGTGAGGACAGGGGGTTTGGGCTGGAAGAGCCTCTGCTGCTTCCTTGGTGGGGAATCGTGGTGTGAGGGTTGTATGCAGTCATACCAGTGCAAGTGCCTGGAGAGTCCTGACACTCAGTTGTGGTTTTGTTTTTAGTTGAAACCTTCAAAAGCAGTGATTTTCATTCTGCCCCTCAGACCCTGGCAGCCATTCTTCTGAGGGGCCCTGAGGCCAACTAGGGGTGAGGGGGGAGCTCTCACCGCCAGTTCCACTCTAGTCCCAGCCACTTTGTTACTTTGTTTCAGTTTTGTAGAGTCTCTATAGTTTCTACAGTTGCACTTGCAGGAAGAATTTTGCTTCGCTAAGGGACTGTAAGAACTATCCCCAAGGCATCCAGCCCTGTAGCTGGAGAAGGGGGGGGGGGGTTCTCCAAGCCTAGGGCTGCCCGGAGGGGTTCAGTCGGCAGCAGCCCTTCCTCTGCTCCCTTTGCGGGTCTGACGACCTCCTCTAGACCTGTGCTGTCCACTGTGAAGGCACTGGCCACACGTGGCTGTGGAGCCTTTGACATGTGGCTAGTTCGAAGTGTGATGCATTGCAAATGTAAACAAACCAGACTTCAAAGACAGTATGAAAAAAAATGTAAAATAGCTCAATTTTTTTATATATATGTGAAATATTTTGAGCATAATGGGTTAAATAAAATATATTATTAAAATCCACCTGTTTCTTTTTATTTTTTTATGATGTGGCTACTCAAAAATACTCGAATACCTATGTGGCTTGCATTTGTGGCCCACGTTAAATTTTTTTGGATGGTGCTGCTCTAGACCTCCAGGGCTGCTTTCCCTCGCTGGCCTCAAGGGAGCTAGGTCTGGGCACAGCTGAGGGGGTCGGGTGGCCCAGAGGCTGGCCTGGGCCTGGCTTCCTCACCTAGGGACCCTTCCTGGCACCAGCCCTCATGTGCCACAGCTTTCTTGTGTGCTGATGAGACAGCACTGGTGTTGGGAGCAGAGGCTGAGGCGCTTGGCTCTGGAGCACTGCTGCGTGCTAGTTATATAATGTGTGCTGCCCAGAAGGGCCACTAGATGCTGCTCTGTGATCCCTGAAGGAACAAAGCACGGCTGCCTCAGAAGCCAGGGTTTAGCCTTGCTTTATTTGGAGCCCTTTCTGGAAGGTAGCCGGCCAGAGCCTTGTCTTCTCTTTCTCAGGGTGGTATGGGGATGGGGCCATGCAGAGGACAGGGATTCTCTGGTGACACATGGGAATATCAGCCCAACAGTGCAGATAACAAGCAGGCTGGCCCTTCTGGCAGCTAGAGATAGGCTATAGAATCAATAGGCTGATCGATGGTGGGGTTTGGAGTGCTTTCCTGCAGTTCTCTGAAGAAGACTGGGAAGAAAACAGCTCCACTTCATTCAGCTGGGTCTGCATTCTGGGCCTTGATTCTGCCATTTTCGGTAGAAGATTGCCCTTTCTTCCTTGCCTTGCACTGGAGCTGTGACAGGAGCTTTAGGGTGGTGGTGGTGGTGGTGGGTGCCTTGAAACAGTGGGCACGGCAGTGGGGGTGGACAGGACTTCCAGACAACCCCTTTCCTCAGGCACAATCGCAAGTGGGCTGCCGGTGCACATTTCGTTCATGTGCTGCAAACATGGCTTTGCCTTTGACAAGTGTGAGGAGGCTGAGGTAGTAATGCAAAGAGCTCTTTTTGAAGGTGCTAGGGAAGGCTGGCTGGACAATGGCGAGAGAGGATACCAGAGTGTGGCCAGTCTGGAAAAGGTCCGGGCAAGAACCTGCTGCTTTGGTTTGGGAAATGAAGTGGGGTAAAGTGGACCTTGGTACTGCCTGCCATGAATTGGAATAGCTGAAACTGAAATTTGTAGGTACAGGTACCAGGGTGGACCTAAGGGGAGGCTTACAGGCTTCGAAATCTAGGCATATTTTGTGAAATGGAAAGCATTTAACCTTTGCTCAACACCAGAATCTGAAGGGGACCTTGAGAGGCAGTATGGACAAAGGCCTACTTGGGAGCTGGGCCTCTCCACCAGGGGCTGGAGGGAAAAAGGCTTTGCCTTGGAGAGAAAGAGAGTCATTGGGCCAGGGGACCTGGAAGAGATTACTTCTTCAAGCTCCTTACTAATAGGGAAGGAGGGTTGAGGACTGCTCCATTTCAAGAGCAGGCCGAGGTTGTACACGGAGGAACATGGAGGGAGGGCCCTGTTGAGCAAAGGGCCGGCTTTCATCTAAGTTAAGATGACAGCTGCTGTGGATGTTTCACAAGCAGCCATCTGCATACAGAACAATGCATTTTCCATTATGTGGTCACCAAAGTCCCTAAAGCTTTCACTTGCCACTATTGACAGAGAAACGGCTGGGTAGTACATATACGCATTCTAGTACTTTGACTCGATAGCAGCACTGTCCTGGGTAGGGCCGTGAGCAGCACTGGCAGAGCGGGCCCAGGTTGACAGCCTGGAGTGGCCAGGAGGCCAGGAATTGGGTAGTTAATCTGGATTACTGCTTCCTTATCTTTTGGTCCAGAGGTGATAATCTGGATTAAGATAGGGTTTGAATCTTCTGTTTCTCCGGTTTGTGGGCAACTCAATCAGTTTCCAGAACCAACTAAAAGAAAAACAAATGAAGAATGGCTCTTGTGAAGGATGTGAATTCTTGTCTGTGAGAGGAACTGTTCTTACTAGTCAGAATTTTACAACTTGGCACCAGATCTTCAAATGGTACATGGTTAGCATGAAAAACATTGGAATCAGAGGATCAGAGGCTGGTTTGGAAGAGCAGTGGCTTCAGTTTTACTACAACTGATAAGAGGGCCAGTGGTAATGTCGAGGTCACATTTGTGAAGGACTGGCCCGTCTCTGGGGCAGAGGCCCACCCCGGAGCCTCAAGTCCTGTCCCAGCCAGGTGGGTGCGGGAAAGCCAGTCTCTGTTTTGTGGACCAGCCCAGAACTGCCTATGCCTCTCTGGCTTGGATTTCTATTTACCCGGGCTCCGGCCCTTTACCTGAGGTGCGGGAATAGAGGCCACGGAGGGGGAGACGTGAAAGTCGATGGGACAGTCCATCCGGATTCGAGTGGCTTCAGCAAAGGCTTCCGCCTCCCACCGCCACCCCCACCACCCCCGGCTCAGGGCCTTCCTCCTCGAGTACCTAGCTTCTTCCCCGCCGGACGAGGATGTTAATGGAAAAAGGAATCTCGGGGCCCCGGCCGGCCTCCGTGGATAGCTTCTCGCGCGGCAGCCTCAGCTCGGGCGGGCCGCGCGTCGCCAGGGCGGGGACGCGGCCGAGAGCGCCCCCGCGGCCCGCCGCTGCGGGTGCCGCGGCGGGAACAAAGGCAGCACGTGTCTGGGCGGGGCGGCGGGCGGGTTCAGCCCTCGGCCCCGCCCCCGGCGCGCCCCCTCCCGCCCCCCGCCCGGCCCTAGCTCGGCTGCGCGGGGCGCCGGGGACTCTCACGCGGCCTGGCGGCTGCTGGCGCGACGACGCAGAGCGGGCGGCGAGCGGTGCGGGAGGGGCGGCCCCGAGAGGCGAGGCGGGGCCGGCGCCGCGGGTACCCGCCGCCACCGCCCGAGTCCGGGTCCTAGATGGGGTGCGGCGAGTAGAGGCGCTCGGGCTCGTGGCCGCATCCCTGCCCGCACCGCGCGCGGGGGTGGCGCTGAGGACCGCGGCGGCCCGGCTCCCAGGCAGGAGCAGGCCAGTTCGGGCCGGCGCGTGGGCCTCGCGCGCGCGCGCCCCCGACAGGGAGGCCGCTGAGGTGCGCGCCGGGGCGGGAGCGGGAACGGGAGCGCGGCGGCGGCGAGGGCGGCCGGCGGGGGGCGGGGCCGCGGCGCCTGCAGAACCTTGGACAGAAGCTCCGGAGCCGCCGCCGCCGCCGCCGCCGCCGCCGAGCGCGAGCCCCGCCGAGCCCCGCCGAGCGCCGGGACCGCGGGCCCGAGCCGCGGCGCGCATTGCGGAGGGAGAGCGCGGAGCGCAGGAGCCGCCGCCGCCTGCCGGGTAAGCCTGCGCCTCGGGGCCGCCCGCTGCCCCCGAGGAGCCGGGGCCGGGGTCGGGGCCGCGCGCGGTGTCGAGGAGGGGTCTCCCAATCCCCCCAACCCTTCCCCGCCCCGGCCGCCTCCGCCGGCGCCCGGGCCCCTCCCGCTGCCGTCCAGACCGCAGCGGCCGCGGCAGGCGGGCGGGGGGTGCCGCAGTGGAGGCGGCCGGGCTGCGGCGCGGGGGCGCGGGGCCGGGGCCAAGTCCGCGGGGGCCGCGTTGGCCCGGGTGGAGGAGCGCGGCGCCGAGCCCCGCCTGGTGCTGAGAACCATCTTGTTTTCCACGCAGATCCGAAGGGGCAGCACGCGCCCGGGAGCCGGGAGTGCTCCCGCCTCCTGCCCGGGGCCGCCGCGGGCTCGCTGAGGTGTTTTGTGCCTCCGGCCGGCAGGCTGGGCGCGCAGGGGCGCGGGCCCCCGCCCAGCGCGCAGCGGCACCATGGGCACGGTGCTGTCCCTGTCCCCCAGCTACCGGAAGGCCACGCTGTTTGAGGATGGCGCGGCCACGGTGGGCCACTACACGGCCGTACAGAACAGCAAGAACGCCAAGGACAAGAACCTGAAGCGGCACTCCATCATCTCCGTGCTGCCTTGGAAGAGGATCGTGGCCGTGTCGGCCAAGAAGAAGAACTCCAAGAAGGTGCAGCCGAACAGCAGCTACCAGAACAACATCACGCACCTCAACAATGAGAACCTGAAGAAGTCGCTGTCCTGCGCCAACCTGTCCACTTTTGCTCAGCCCCCACCGGCGCAGCCGCCCGCACCCCCTGCAGGCCAGCTCTCGGGCTCCCAGACCGGGGGGGTCTCCTCCTCCGTCAAGAAGGCCCCGCACCCTGCCCTCAGCTCCGCAGGGACGCCCAAACGTGTCATCGTCCAGGCGTCCACGAGCGAGCTGCTGCGCTGCCTGGGCGAGTTCCTGTGCCGCCGGTGCTACCGCCTGAAGCACCTGTCCCCCACGGACCCTGTGCTCTGGCTGCGCAGCGTGGACCGCTCGCTGCTCCTGCAGGGCTGGCAGGACCAGGGCTTCATCACACCCGCCAACGTGGTCTTCCTCTACATGCTCTGCAGGGACGTCATCTCGTCGGAGGTGGGCTCGGACCACGAGCTCCAGGCCATCCTGCTGACCTGCCTGTACCTCTCCTACTCCTACATGGGCAACGAGATCTCCTACCCGCTCAAGCCCTTCCTGGTGGAGAGCTGCAAGGAGGCCTTTTGGGACCGCTGCCTCTCTGTCATCAACCTCATGAGCTCCAAGATGCTGCAGATCAACGCCGACCCACACTACTTCACACAGGTGTTCTCCGACCTGAAGAACGAGAGTGGTCAGGAGGACAAGAAGCGGCTCCTCCTCGGGCTCGATCGGTGAGCCCCGTGGCCCGCATCATGGCTCAAGGATTCAGTTCATTTTTAAAAATTTATTATTAAGCAAATCAGATTCTGTGTACAATATGTGTCTAGCAAAGCCACCGAGGGCCTCTCCCTTCCCACCTTCCCTCCTCGGGGTTTTCTTCAGCCCTGCCAAGAACTCTGGGCACTTTTGAACTCCCGAACCTTGTGCAACACCCAGAAGATGTATCCAGAGCCACCCGGGCTGCTGACCTCTCAACTTTGGGGATTCGGGGGACTGAGCGTCTTCTTGCCGCCTGTGCCCTTGCTGGACTGGGGCGGGTGAGGCCGTCCACTGCTCCTGGCACGGGAGCCGGAGAGGGGCCTCTGGCCGGTTGGCCCAGGGAGCGACTGGCCTTCCCGGCTGGGGGTCCTTTCCTGGCTCTTGTTTTGGGTCATACCTTCTCCCAGAGGCCTGTGGAGCTGGCCACCCCGACCGAGCCACGAGGAGGGTTGGGAGGCAAGGTGCCCGCCACCCTGGGACAACTCTTCGGTCGAGGAGAAGCTGGCCTAGTACAAAGATTGGGGCCTGTCGTTTGACAATGCACCACCTGGGTTTGCTCTTTTTTCTTTTTTAGGGAGAAGGGCTTTCCTTTAGTGAAGACATGGACCTTGCCCCCTAGCCCCCTGCTCCCCCGCTCCCAGCTGTGTTGGCAGTGTTGGGTTAAGGAGCTGGTTTGACTCATTAAGTTCTTTGATTTTGGGTCCCAGCTAAAGGGGTAGGGTGCAGGTAGGGACAGCTCCTTTCCTGGGTGAACCTTTCATTTGACTAATGCAGCTTACTCACCCCGTGGCGAAGGCCAGGGCAGCTGCAGGTGCCCATTACCAACAACCTGCCTTCTGGGCGGGTGGGGTTGTCGTGCCCGAGACCAGCCAGTGCCCACCTGAGGGCTAAGGCCTCTTGCCGGTGCATGACATTCGTTCCACAGAGCCGGGGTGGGGGGTGATGTCAGGGATCAGGGCGATGTGGTAATGATGTACCCCCTGTCCCCACCCCTGTTCATTTCAAGCTGTTTCCAAACAGTTCAGTTTCTTCTGAAGACGAAGCCTGGCCCGGCAAGGCCCAGTGAGACCACTGGATCTTGGAGACAATTCCAAGACGGGAGTAGCGCTCCTGATTGCTTCGGAAGCCTGCTGATTGTGCACCTGATCATTTGCAGTTGCTGGTTTGGGTTTCCACCTTACCCTAGTGGCTGCGAAAACACACGATGTGTACTTAATCAATTTCCTTTCTAATTCTCCCAGATTGGTGGCTTGGGACTTGGGAGAGGACCGCGAGAAGGGAGCGAGCCTCCCTCCGTGGCCCATCACTCCAGCTTTGGGGAACAAAGACCAATGTGAAGATGCTCTGGGGAATTCTGTCTTTCAGTCCCCATGCCCCCCCTCCCCTTCCCCAGGGAGTGCTGGAATAGGGGGCTGGGGGAAGGCAGAGGGTCCTTTGACATAGGGTTAGGTTCCAGGTGGCTGCTGGTTTCAGCACGAGCACTACTGAAATTCACACGAACAAGAGAAAGCTGTGAAACGGAGGTCCTGGTGTAAGAGGCCTGGAGCTGAGCCGCCGGCCCGGGTGTTCCTGGGGAAGAGGGGGAGGGCCTGCCCGGGCTGGGATTCGTTTGCCCCAGCTGCGCCTTGGGCCCACGCTGAGCCTGAGCCGTTCCGTTCCTGGGACTGCCAGATAATCTGATGTGGAGCTGGAAGGAACCTGCTGGAAGGTTGCTGGCACAGACTTTGCCGCCGCTGCTGCGCCTCTTCTTGGTTGGAGTTGTCACACAGCCCGTCTGTGCAGATCCTGCCACCACGTGTAACCTGAGGTAGGAGGCCCGTGGGGGCAGCAGGCCCTGGCGGCCCGGAAGAGGGAGGTTCGGGTGCCGAGTCTCCAGAGGAGGGGCGCGCATCCGTAGTCGCTCTTTCTCGGCGGCGGCCGAACTTGGCCTGAGACTGCGCTTCAGTTGCATCCCCAGGATTCCGGTTATGTGTGTTTCCTTCTCTTTCTCCGTATTTATTTTTTTATTTCTCGGAGGAGGTGCAAATTTCAGGAGTGGTTGGGGGACGAAGGAAGCCAGTCTCTGGCTCCCCCCCAGTGTGAAGCCTGCCCCTTCCTCCTCCCCGCCCTTGTGCTGGTCAGTCCTGGGTGCAGGAGCTGATGGACTCGAGTGTGCAGGCAGTGAACCCATTTGACATGCTGCTATGAAGACTACTTTTAGAACAACAATTAAAAAAAACAACAACAAAAAACTAACCTACGGGGGAAAAAAAAACCCTTATTCTTTCATTGTTGCTTTGACAGTGATCTTGTGCATGCGAACCAGGAGCATTTTGTGTCTTAAGAAAAATAATCTTAGAACAGATGGCCGTGAACATTACACCCGTGCACGGAACCAGTCACAGGAATAATAGTTCAGGATTTGGTTTTTCTCTTTTTCTTGTAAACCTGAAGGGTTGATATATTCTTTCCATGCAGCTATTAGAATTTAGTTTTGTTCCAGCAGTTGTTAAACTTGCAATGAAAAGAAAATGTGCCATTTTTTTCCACTCGTAATTGTTCATTGCTGTATATTTGAAACTGCTAATTACACGTGCGGTGTATGTTGGTTCTTAGTGCAATTCGTTCTGTAGTTATTCTCTGACCAAACCGTGGGTATTGTTAATATTAATTTATATTTGTCTCATTTTGTATGTATGTGTAGTGTGTTTGTAAGTATGTGTGGTTTATAATCTGACAAGGTCATGAAGCTCAGTTTGGCTGTAATTTAATTCCCTTTCCCTTATTTTTATTTATTTTTGTACTGTGCTGATTAAATAAAATGCACTGACCATCCATTCCATAGGCCTCTTGTCATTCGCGAGCAGGCTGGGGGGGCCCCTTTTCTAAATGATTCCTGTGCTCGGAACATAATTGGATTTGTATCGTGGGGGAGGGGAGGGGCTGGGCGAAGGGAGGGCTGGGCGAAGGGAGGGCAGGGCTCAGGGAGAGCTCTTGGCTTAACCGGTGCGTTCAAGTTAAGGTGATTAAGAGAGAAGCACAGGTTAAGTCAACTCAGGTTTAGCTAGGCCGCGGGGCAGGAGTTGCTCCTCAGAGGCTGCCTGGGCTTGGCTTGGCAGAGCTGGGTGACTGGGACCTGTGGCCGGCGGGGGTCGGGCGGGGGGAATCAGGCCCAGGCTTGGCCCGGTGAGGGCTGGTGCTGTGGCTCCCGCAGGGGCACCAGGCCTCAGCCTCCCTCGTGGAGCTTGGCTCTGAGGCTGCTGCCCCCACATATCCTGGGCCTGGCTCTGCTCAGCACCCGTGGCCCAGAGGCTTCCTCTCCACCCTGTGGAGTGGTGTCCACGTGGCTCAGCCCTGCCAGTTTAGCTCGGTGCAGGTTTGCAAGAGCGAGGAATCCAGCCTCTGGGGCTCCCAAATAAGCAGCCACCCCAGGCCACGATTGTGGCAAGGGGGTGCCCCCTCCCGGCAGTACCGCCAGTGGTCCGTGCCCGCTCCCACCCCCAGCCTAAGCTTCAGGGTCTAGGGCAGTGTGGACTCGAGGCTCCCTAGGGCCTGCACGCTGCGGGCCCAAGGCACCCCTGGACGCCGGGAAGGCGCTGCCACCCCAGGTTGCCCCTCGGGTGCGGTCAGCTTTGTGATCGGGTCCACTGGCTTAATTCAGGGCCTCTCCCTCGGTCTGAGTCACAGAAGCTGCACTGCATGTACTTTGCCACCAAGGACGGTGACCCGGCGGCCCTTGGGTGCCGGGGAGGCTCTGTCATCTGGGGAGGGGGGGGCTTGCTTACCTGCCGCTTGCCTCGCCCCTGCCCCCAGAGGTCCGGGATCCCTCGCGCTCCTCCTGCCACCCCCATTGTCCCCAGCCCGCCTGCCCCGGGGAGAGGCCGCTGCAGGCCTCGGAGCTTGTCCTTCACAGATACGTGCTCCGATTTCGGTCAACACGAACAGTGAACTTTGAGTCTAACGCACGGGCCTCAAAATGGTGGAACGAAGTGCTTCGATTGAACTCCGCCGCCTCCCCGCCGGGTGTCTAATATTTTCATTGAAAAGCCTCCTGTAAATTATCCTCCATTTTACCTTATTTGTGCCTAATTTTCCCTCCCATCCTCTGGGACAGCAGCTGACTTTTTACCAGCTGGAATGTCACAATTGTGGGTATAGTTTTCAATTACAGATAAGCAGGACACCTTTAAAAGTAAGATTTAATGCTTTATTGCTCTTGATGGTAAATCAAAATATGCTCTAGAAATAAAGTTAACTTAATGGAAAATAGGAATAAACGCAGCAAACCATAAAACTGCATTTAATTAGATCAAGAGAAACACTTCATTGCATACAATCACTGTGCCCTGCTCTCCCCCTGCCCCTGGAGGCACCGCTGAGCTCACACCCTAAAGGCTTGAGCCTTCTTCAGTTGCCACACACTGGGACTTCTTTTAGGACATCAGGAAAAAGTGCTCGTGGACTGGCCTCAGCCTGAGGAGCCCCAGGCAACCCCTAAAGGCGGCAGGAAGGGCCCCACCGCCCACCCCTCCTCCCCAGCCCCGGAAAGGCACTCATTTGGCATGTTCCGTTTTGGTGTGTCTCAAACATACACGTGCACGTCTCTAGTGTAAAGCAAGGAATTTGGAGAAAGGAGTGGAAAGGAGAGGAGGCGCCGTTCCAGTTAGGACGGTTCCACTGGTGTCAAGGTGACTGGCAAAACTCCGTTGCTAAACCAGGCTGATGGCACCTCTGCGCAGTGCAGGCAGCTGACCAGGCTTCGAGAATGAGAATGGGTTTCTAAGGACACGATGCCAAGAGAATTCTTTGTTGCGAACTGCACATGGTGCAAATGTTTTGCGGGCCCTGGGAAGTCGGGGGGTGGGGGGTGTGTGTGGGGGAGACCAGGCTGTTGGGACCAGCCGGCAGGTTGGCCTGGTGACCGGGCAGGCACTGGGCCAGGCACGGGAGACTGCACTCAGACCCTCGGTGTGATTTGTGGGGTCAGGGTGGCGGCTCAGGAGCATGGGGGTAGGGGGTGGAGGGGTGGGGGTGGGCAGGGTCTACGGCTGAAAGTGAAGAAAACGTCAGCGCATCCCTTTTACCTCCCGCCAGTCTCCTCCCGAGCTGTGGGCTCCCCCTCAGCCCCCTCCCCACGTGGAGTTTCCCAAGTCTCTCCTTTTAAGGCTCCTGGCCTGGAGGCCCGGGCTGCTCAGAGGCTTGGGGCCACGTCCTCAGCCGAGGCTCCGGAGCAGAGTGGTCTCAGGAAGGCACTGAGGCACGTGTGCTTTCTGCTGGGCCCACCCTGGGCCCCAGCTGTGGTGTGTGGAGGGGGGCAGCCTGGCCTGGCCTGCAGTGCCAGGACCCCCCACTCTGTTTCTGTCACTCTGCCCTTCCGGCCCTGGTCCTTCTTATTCTCTGAATGTATCTGAAACAGGGGTGTCGGATAACTTGCAGACACCCCCCCCAGAGTGCTCCCTGGCCCCTGCAACTCCGTTTTCTCATCGATGTGCCCGACGTGAGTGTGGGCGCAGCAGACCCCACACCCGAGGCGCAGCCCTGCGTGTTGCACACATCACTGTGCAACAACCACGGGCCCAGGCCGTGCAGTTAAGGAAGATGGGCCTTGGAGCACCTGCTCTGCTCTTTCCTGCAGAGGTGGCCTGCAGGCCTCGGGCGGGGGGCAGGCTGGGCATGACTGTTCTGCCAGCCACTGGCTGTCGGGCCAGCCCGACAGGTGAACTTGCTCCCCTGATGGCTTTGGCTGACAGCTGGGGAGAGGGGCTCCACCGAGGAGCTCTGAGCCAGGTCCCCTTGGGGGAAAGGGGTGGCAGGCTGTGCTCACGGAGAGAGCAGGGCTACATCCCCAGCTCATGTCCGGCAATCTCCCCCAAGCCCCCCGGGGGAGCATGTTTTGGGTTGGGGAAACTGATCCACCCCTTGCAGGGTCAGGTGCCAGTCACTGGGTCAGGGTCTGACCTGGCCAATGGGGGGTGTGTGTGTGTGTGGTGGCAGGGGCCTCCGCTGACATCAAGTCGCCTCTGCGGGGAGCTGCAGTCTGGGTGTGGGCCCAGGGGTCTGTGGCAGGGCACCGGGGTCTTTGGTTTGTTGAGTGAGGACTGGAAAGTGGGGGCAGAGGAGGATGGAGACCAAAGGCAGAAAGCCAGCAAGAAAACCTCAGGGGAGGAGCCTTGGAGGCGGCAGAAGAGGGTTTTGGCCCCAAGCATGGCGGACCCTTGCGAGCTGATTTCTAGCAGGGGGTAGCGGGGAGTGAGCAAGTCAGACGGGGTGGTGAGGCCTCCCCGGTGGGCGGTCAGTTCCCCGGCACGCTGAGGATGAAGCCCGAGCGGTTCTTGGTGAAGTCGGGCTCCGGCTGGTTGATCCTCGTCTCCACGGAGACCGTGCACTTCTTCCCGTGTAGGCTGCACTGCACGGGGTTGGTGACGTTGACTTGAAGGTAGCGCTTCTCACTGGAAGAACCAAAAAGAGAAAGACCAGCAGGCAGTTAGCAGGCGGCCAGAGTGGGGTAAATGGCCCTGGCACCCCCTGGGGCCCGCATCTGCCCACCTCCCCAAGACCTGGTGGGTGGCCCAGGGGCCACAGGCACAGGCGGCACCCCAGGAGAGGGAGAGGGCAGCAGAGGCCAGGGTTGGGCTGCAGCCTCAAGCCAGAGCCGGCAGAGAGCAGGGCTGGCGCTGCGGCCTGGGCCTGCACCCGCAGAATGCACTCGAACCAGAGTCACTGGGGCTCTGGCCTGAGGCAGGGACCCAGTCACTTGGGCGTTAGAGGTCAGCAGGGGGCTCGTCGGGAGGGGCACGGGCTTCTGATTCGGGGCGTCTGTGGCTGCAACAGGGAGCCCTGGGAGGCACGTCCAGGGAGGGGTGCGGACGGGAGATTCTTGCCTGCGTGGTCTCGCTGGCAAGAGAAAGCTCTTCCAGCAGTCCTGCCCGCCATCAGGCCCGGCCAGGAGAACTGGGGCTGACTCCTGCTTCCCCAGCGCCCTGGGTGGGCCCTCTCCCACTCGGGGTTTCCGAGGGCCCTCGCAGTAGCAGCCTCCCCGCCCCTCCCTCCCCCGCCCCCAGTGTGGGTGCACCTGCTGCGGGCCGCCACCCATCTGCCGAGCCGAGAAACATGTGCGAAGCGGCGGGCACCTCCCATGTGCTCTCGTGGGCTGGCACACCCCCACGCCGTGGCTCGCGCCCCTCGGATTTCTCGGAGCCAGAGGTGCAAGGAGCAGGGCCTGCGGCGTGGGCCCGGATCCCAGGCGCTGGGCAGGCTGGTGGTGCACCACGTGCCCAGGTGCCCAGGTGCGATCGAGGTGCCCTCCCGGCACGCGCGCGGGGCCCTGTCACAGGAGGCGCGGCCCCTCGGACGCACCTGCCCGCACGCTGCCAGGCTTCCTCATGCCCCTCTGCCGCCTGCTTTCCCCCTGGTTCTGCCCCGGGGGCAGACGGTGCAGCAGGAAGAGAGCCGTGGTTCTCACTTGCAGGCATCAGGTATCTAATACTTATAATACTTAATGTCTTGTCAGCTGCAGCTAAAACCTTGGCTTAGACTGCTATTTTTAAGCAGACTTGGACATAAAAATAGAGTCCACCAGTGGCAGTGACTCAGGCACGGCTCTGCTCCTGGGGGAGCCAGGGCTGCTGGGCGGGGTCTAGGGGTGTGGCCCTGCGCTCCAGGTCCCCACCGTCGTGCTGGCCCAGGGCAGGCAGAGCCCCCCGCACTGCAGCCTTGCCTGTGGCTGGAGACGCTTCTAGGACCCGGAGCCTGCACCTTCCCCTGCTTAGTCAGCCAGCCTCCTGGGCCCTCTGAGGGGGAATCATATTCCCTGGGGACGTCCCCCTTCTGACTCTGGC